ACACCTGCCATCCAGCACTCATGATGCGAGGCTGGCCTTGAATTTGAGGTTGTAGAAGCAGGCCAGCCTGGGCTGTAGTGTGAAACCACACACACACACACACACACACACACACACACACACACACACACACACACACACACACACACACACACGAAGCCAGCAACTTATGAACCTGGCCTGGGCTATAGTGTGAAACCACACACACACACACACACACACACACACACACACACACACACACACACACACACACACACACACACACGAAGCCAGCAACTTATGAACCTGGCCAGTCAGTCTTCAAACTCTACTCAGCCACCAACTATGACAAAGGCCATGACCCATGTTCCCAGTGCCTGAGATTCTCAGCATTCCAGGGCCCTGCAAACAATGGGAGTGTCTGTGGCAACTCAGAGCATGCTGGGAAACGTTTAAATGTCCAAATGAATGATGTGGAAAGATGAGAAGCCAAAGCCAAGGGGCAGAAATGGGGTGAGGGCAGCCATCTAGGACTCTGCTCTCCTTTAATAGAGGGTTACTCCCAAGCACAAATTTCAAGCGTTGTCAGAAGCTGAGATGTGGTAAGAATGTGCAGACTCATGAAGTCCCAGCAGGGAAGGTTGGGTGTGGACTCCCAGTTCATTCAGAAGCTGGTCAAAACGGCATCACAAGATACGTAAGCTCCAGTCTTACAGAGAGAAGTCCCCAGAAACCAAGAAGGCTAGGTCTCTCGTGAATGTCCTGGTCCTGTGTCAGTTCCTGGAAAGGAACACTGTTCTCCCCAGTCCTTCCTCTGTGGTGCTATCCTGTGTCACCTGAATTCTGTGTTGGATTTTGGCTTGCCCCCAGACTCAGACTTCCATCTGCCGAACTCTGAGGTTTCGTCTGCAATGGACCAGACATGGTCCCATCTCCCTTAAGTGGCAAGAAGGCAATACCAGGCTGGGGTTGTAGCTCGGGAGTAGAGCATTTGCCTAGGACACACAAGGCTTGGTTAAGGAGCCAAGAGCAGTCAGGAAGGAGAGGACCAAATGTCTAAGGCCATCCTGTTCCATAGAGCAAGTTCAAGAGACCAGCATGAGCTACAGAAGACCTTGTCTCAAAAGTAGGTAATATAGGAAGCTCCATTTTTGTGGGTGAGGGGCTGAGTCAGAGAGACAGATAACTAAGCTCTTTCAATGACTAGCTGACTGTGAGGAAGGCCAGATTGGCAAGGGGACAGGTGAAAGAACAGCCCACCAACAGGGAGAACCTCAAGCCACTCTGCTGCTGCCCTCCTCCATGACCTCTGTCTGACACCTGTGACAGCACCTTCTCCAGCTTCTCACCTGGAAGCACCACCAGGAAAAGGGGTGGATCTGCCCAGTGCCTGAAGCCTGCATGAGGTGGACCCCGGAGCTGGCCCCACCCCAATGCTAACCCCACCCTCACCTAGGTCCCTGCACTTCTGCTTTAGCTCAGTCCTTCTGAGGACCCAGAGCTGCTGGACAGCTTCACTCCTACAGGATGAGGCTGTCACCTCAAACATCATTCAGTCCCAACCCAGGCCTTCACTCAGCAAGCCTCCCTGGGTAACCGCAAGGAAGGGAACATGAAGAGGAAACCTTGAGACATCTCCCTCCCAAACCAGCACATTCCCAGCTCCCCTTTTCCTCCTGGCCATTCTCAACATAAGTGAAGGGGGAGCCCTCCTGCCCAGTACAACAGGGTCTGCCCTTCAGCAAATAACCTCCCCCTCTAAACCTCCAGCCCTTTGTCCAGACAGACACATTGTGACAACTGCTTCCATCCAGGGCTCTGGTCAGTATTATGACCTTACCCAGTCCCAAGATGGAAGAAGCTATCAGATTTCCACTCAGCAAACATGCGGTAGTAGTCTCTTCAATTCCCCCAGTGCCCCGTCCTGACCCTGTTCTTACTCAAATGGAATTAGGTTTAGTCTGTCTCTAACTGCACGGATGGGGAGCAGACCAATTGTCTGGGTGTCTGCGGCAATGTCCTGTGCATTGAAAGCTCTGTTAAGTATTGGCTGAATAAAAAAGAAAAAATCAAATGATGCACCTAAATATGGCCATCTACTACTATGTGTTTAGGTGTCCCTAGGGGATGGTGTGGGAGGGTCAATACCCTGCAGTACCTACATCCGACACTAGATGGCACAAAAGCTCGCAAGGAATTTGCTGCCAAGACAGGCAGAACTTGTGATTTATTGAGGTAGAGGGTCTAAAAAACAGATGCCAGCAGGACGCACTGTCATCACCAAGTTTTCCAGAGACAGACCCTGTGGGACATGTGCTCATGCAGGTCCATATCTGCAATGTCCGGGGCTTCTACACAATACAGGAAGGACTTCCCTGGGTTGGATGTCACCCAACCACCATACTATAGAGCAAAATCTGCTTCACTTAGGGTTGGCCAACCCAGTGAGAAACTCCTGCAAGGACACACTTCAAGGTGACACAACTTTCACACCCACGCTAGAGCTGAGAACCCATGTCCAGCATGAAGACCCATGTCTTCTCCTTTCCCTCTCCCAAAAGCACGAGGTCAGGTATGCAAAGTCTTGGCCTAAGCACTTCCCTCATCCTCCCAGATCAAGAGCCAATCTCTTCCCCTTTTCTCACAAATCACACTCACAAGGAAATGCAGAGACCCCAAGACTTATTCAGAGTCTCACTGTATAGCCCAGGCTAGCCTCAAACTCGGGGCAATCCTGTTTCAGCCAGGAATTACAGCTGCACACCATTATACCAACTAAGCAGTATTACCAAGGGTGCTATCCTGACCCCTGAAGATTCTGCACTCTGCAGACTTTCAATGTTTTACAAATAGCTACTCAAGGTCTGTGGATGAAGGTAAGGAATAGAATTTGAGGTGAAGAAGTGGGTGTCAAAACTGCATTCCACCCTCCCAGCAAAACACAGGTGGGGCTGCTGACAGGAAGCAGCTGAGCAGATGGCTATTTAAACTGAGGCTTCAATTTTTCCCACTGGCCAACCAGCTAACCCAAGAAACTTCTACATGCCCCGGGTACTGGGCCTATGAAATCGACGAATTAAACATTACTGGTAATAAATCATAAGGGCATTTATTTTGAAATGACAAAGTGCATATGAATAAGATGAATGTAATTTTACATTACATAATTTGGGGTAAGCATTTGATCCTGCAGGATGCAGAATGCCTTCAGCCATTTCAGAACTGGTCACTATTTCAACTTTATAATCATCTACTAAGAGAACCCTTCACATAAACACATGTTTAGGGTCGTTTCAGAGTGCTGAAAATTTTCAATTTTTTTATGAAACTCAAACAAAAATCTCTTGAGAAGCATAGCCATGGAGGCAAATGCCTGTAATCCCAGCATCTTCAAGCTGTTCAAGCTCAAGGCTGACTCAGAAACAACAGATCAGAGACAGGGTCTAATCCTGATACTAACACTACTGAGGATGAAGACAGGAACTACCTGTTTAGCACTTGGGGGGAGCGGAGGCAACTGGATCTCTTGAGTTCTAAACCAGTTAAGGTTACATAGTGAGATCCTGTTCTAAATAAACAGCCAGGCATGGAAGCACACACCTGTAAACCCAGTACTCCATAGATGAAGAGAATCAAGAGTTCAAAGTCAGCTTAAAATACGTGAAAGTATTTTTAAAAAAAATGAGACAAAACTCAGCTCCCTCCTAATCTTGTCTATTTACTCTTCTTAATTCAAATCCTGAATCTTCCAGCCTCCACAGGCTCCAAAGCAGTCCTGAACTATGTGCTCAAAGGTGATCTCAAACTCACAATCTGGCCTCAGCCACCCAGATGATGGGAGCACAAGTGTGCTCGTTCCTCCCCCTTCCAAACTCTTACTTATGCTTATGAATTACAAGGGAGCTGTTTTACTATGACCATGCACTAACAAGTGCTGGACCTTAAAAGGACATTCCAGAACTCCCAGCACTTCAGGAGGCTGAGGCAAGAGATGAGATTGAAAGGCATAGTGAGGGAGAGGGTTACTCTGCCAGTGGAGCCCTAACACAGGAAACAAATGTGATATGGACAGCATCTCCAGCAAAGGGTGTGCCAATCCTAGTCTCTCCAAGACTTTATCACTTGGGCGTTCACTGTCTCGAAGACAGCGAATACACAGGCTCAGCCCTGGAACTTCAAAGTTGCCCCCAAACCCAGAGGACTGCTACTGTTCAGCTCATCAAAGCCCAGCAAGTCCCCGTCTCCACAATGTTCACATTACACCTGCACATAGGTCAGGGCCATCTACTCTCCAAAGGCATGGTCAACCATTCACCTTCCGGGGTCAACTCCTCACCTTCCAGCTCCCTTGCTTCTCGGCAAAACTTGACAACTTTGCATGAAGCCTCACCATGCTGCCAGACTCCTAATGTACAAATGGACTTAAAAGGTTCATTTCTCAGTGCCTTCAACTGTAGCCTTTTAATTGCACACACATACAAAAAGACAGACAGTACTTGACTTGTGTTGGATAAGGGTAAAATAACACAATTTTTGCCTCCCAACACAGAAAAAGAAACTGCTTAGTGTAATTTTGTGAATAAATCCATCTAGATGGACTACAGAAATTTTAACAATAAAGTGAACATTTCAAAAGTGCTGGGTTGTTGTCCAGACTTTCAGTGACTAGGTATTGTCATCAAGCATCTTACTCCGTAGTCAGGCTTTCCTACTGGTGGGTCCCACATCACCAACTAAACATGGTCACTTCTACAGTGATCCCAGTCTGTCTACTATCACACTGTCCAGACACCACCCCTACCCCAGACACTACTACACAGAATCCCTCACCCACTGGCATTAATCTGACATACTTTCCACGCTGGAAGTCAAGCACTAAACAGGCATTTGTGGGGTGAAGGGTGGGCAAGGGTCACATAGCTTTTTCTCAGGGGGTTGTTAAATGAAGTTTGGCATGCTTTCTGGGTAGTCACCAAGATCAACGGCATTCAGTTCTGCAAATATACACCAAGCCAAAATGTTCTCCAAACCCTTTAATAGAGCTGAGGCACAAGAAATAAACACTTCATTTTTTGGGTCAGATTTGTTGTCAACATCATACACCAAATTCCCCACCATGTTTTCAGCATTAATATTTAGTTTGATACTAAGGTCCACAGGTTGGTTCAAGGACATGAAGGCAAGTGGCCAATGGTTGGTAGAAATACAAAACTTGATGGAGATAAAAAGGAACACAATACCTGGACTTTGCCCAAGTATGCTCATTATGCTATTAAGGGTATTTGCACATTTCCAGGCAGCTCTACTTATAGTGATTTCACTTAGGAAAAACAGTGGCATCCAACAGTACACCTTTGCTCAAGGCAACATGCCAACAATCCCTGGCAACACTTAAGCTGTTTTTACACTACTTGAGTGTTAGTCTTGCCTTCTGACATCAACTGACCAGCACAAAGACTTCCTGGTTCCATCTGTTTAACTTGAGGGGAGAAGAAACAGTGTTCAGCACTGGTTTCTGTGGAGGAAAGTAGACGTCCACAAACACAGCTAGTGTTCATTTGTCACTTGCCACTTAAGTCTTGTCCTAATCAGCCAGGAGCCAGGCCACGCAGTGCACACTGCAGAACACCTCTCCAAGCAGTGCCCCACCACTCACTTTGTTATCTCCATTCTCTCTCTGGTCCTTATCCATATCCGGGCTGCATCAGGACTCTTGGCAGTGCAGTCAGTCTCTGACTAATCACCATTATGATGCTTAGATTGGAAGGCCTACAGCAAAATTCAGCCAGCCTTTTTACTTTATCTGTAGCATCACACCCCCAAACATGCATACCTAACAAGTACTGTTTAAGGGTTCAGGATCAAGGCCTAGAAAGGGCCCATAAAAGGTCTCAAAGTGTGCCAGAGCAAGCTTCCTATGTGAGGAAGCTGTTCAAAGCTGCTATCCACACACCAACCAGAGGCAGGTAAAGCCTGATTCTTCCTACTATATTATCAGAAAAAGGCGAGCAAAGCCAAAACAAGTCTAGGGCATGGAGGCAAATGAGCTGCCCCATGAAAATGCTGCTCGGTGAATAGATGCCAGCACAGACCACAAGGTCTTCACAATTCATGTCATGTCACCAGGTGATGTGTCGCTATCTGAGAGTCCCACCTGCTTCAGCCAGTCTCCAGTCAAGATGACACTCCACTGTCACTGTACAAGATAAATTAATTCACAGGAGGACTGAAGAGATACACTGTTAAAAGCAAAAAGGAATCAATACTTTCACAACTGCCTTAATGACAAGTTTCTGGTTAGTTTACACACTCCACACCAGTAACAACTGACAAAGAAGTTATTCCACTTCGAGGTTTAATTGAGAATACCAAGTCAGGCAAACATGCAAACTCAGAATATAAACAGGTGCAAGGCCTGGTTGTTCTAAAGTAATCACTGGCCATCAGCTGGATATAGTCCTGAAGACGCTCAACAGAACAAACTGAATTCCACACAAGAGATGAGCAGACTGGTCCTCTCAGTCTGTGAAGAGCAGAGTGAGCAGGCAAACCTAGGTAAAAGTCCTGATGCTGTCTGCAGCCAGGTGCTTGAAATACTGGAGTTAGTGCCCAGGACATTAAGCCACTGATATAGACTGAAGCTTTTAAGGAAACATAGGAGAGAACGGAATCGTAAGAGTTCAACGGCACACTTCACATGTTCAAGAGTAAAGAGAAAGAAACCGTCTCTGCAAGATTTTAATGCTCAGTTTTCACAAACAAGTTTCTATCCAATTTTATGATTTACAGTAAAATGTATTAGTGTTTAAAAATGGGCATTATTCAACTATCCTTCATACTCTCTTCCAATCTTTAAAAATTCATCACTGAGAGTTTTTACCCAAGTAATAACTCTGCTGTATGTACATCTGAATTCCGTGTCTTAAGAATAAACGAAATACATGATATTTTGGTTAACTCAGTGTATTTATAAAATGAAAGGTTCTATCAAAATACTTTTCACTGGAAAAAATAAATAGAACAGACAATGGATCTACTCAAAGTACACATTCACTTTGGTAGACTTCAGTGTAGGACAGTTCATGACAAGCATATTTGCCCTTATTCCCCCAGAGCCGATCAGCTTCCAAGCTAATGGTTAAATCATTTTTAACTGAGATTTTATCGTGTTGATATCTGGCTCATTCCACATCATCTTCAGCCAAGCTCTGAGCACTTACAATTCTCTGAAAGAAAAAGAAAATTATTTTTTGAGAAGTGTCTAATTCCAACTTGCTCTTCAGTCAAAGAATCAATTTTTGCTAAAATTCTCCCACTATGACAATGATTCCATACTTCACATAATAGCCTCTGAGGAGCATGGTGACACATACCTGAAATCTCAGCAACAGGGGTTCTGAGAGGGAAATGGGGGATTTTGGTGGTAGTGTTGGGGGCTATGATCATACAAGCTTCAGTTCCATAACAAAATTCAAATGAATACACAAAGCACTCGACACAAATGCTGATTGTCAATTATATAATCGAAAAGACTTTTTCATCCCCACACAAACCAGCAATTTAGATGTCAACCAGGCAAATCTATGACATTGTCACAGGCTGCTTTGACCTGGTCTTGCTTTGTTCTCACTGTCCTTGTACTGGAAGTGACAGGGCTTCTCTGTATTGGAGAATCAAGGATCTTAAGATGAGGGGACAATGCTGAGATCTGCCAAGGTACCATTCTCCACTGGATCAGTTCCTGAACGAGCAGCTATACCACTCACTCCCAGCTCTTAAATGCCCATTCCGAGCAAGGCTGGTTCAGAATTCTGTATCACACTGCGACACAACCAGGTAGCTCCTAAACAGACACAGCCACAACAGCCAAATACTCATTTTTATGCATTCCCAGAAGTAGCTTTGATTACAGCAACACAGACTATGGAAGCTATCTCTTCAGCAACATATAACATTATTTGAGGTATGGAAAAAAATGGAACCATATTCATCTATCTTTAAAAGATTTAGTATAGCTGGGCGGTGGTGGCATAAGCTTTTAATCCCAGCACTAGGGAGGCAGAGAGGCAGGCAGATCTCTGTGAGTTGGAGGCCGGGCTGGACCGACAGCCTCCAAAACAATACAGAGAAACCCTGTCTTGTAAAACCAAAAAAGATTTAGTGCAAGTTCTTGGTCTTCTAAGTCTTCCTCAAATCTTTTGGAGGAATCTAATTACCCCCCCAGTCCTCTTCCAAATCTAGTTGATTTAAAAATCAGTATGAAGCCGGGCGTTGGTGGCGCACGCCTTTAATCCCAGCACTCGGGAGGCAGAGGCAGGCGGATCTCTGTGAGTTCGAGGCCAGCCTGGTCTACAGAGCGAGTTCCAGGACAGCCTCCAAAGCCACAGAGAAACCCTGTCTCGAAAAACCAAAAATAAAAAAAAAATAAAAAATAAAATAAAAATCAGTATGAAGGAGCCAGAAATTGTGACTCAACAAGTAAACCCCGAAGGAAGGAGAAAAAAAAGTTGGAAAGTAATGTTACTAAAATGTTTGTTAAACTTCCTTGCCATCATATCTTTGCTAATTCTTAAACATATCAAACTGAAAATCAACATATGCAATAGCTGTTGTGAGATCCATTTGGAACTCCTTAGGAAGAATTCCTATGAACAGAATGCACTATAGTGAGTATTTAGCAAATATGTTTTGAGACGAAATCTTACTAACAGCCCTGGCTCAGCGTTCCCCACCCACAGAATTTGGGATTACAGGATTATGCTACCACACTTAGCTATATAATTTAATACATACCCTTCGCACTTCTGAGTAGAAATTTGGGGATGTATAGTCAAACAGTACCAAATTTAAAGACCACAGTAGCAGAAAGAGGCAAACAATACCAAGCCTGACACAGGGACTCCAGGACGATCCAGGATATGCAGTCTTGATTTCTGTATTCCCTTATAAGTTAACTAAACAATGGGCAAGGGTTCCTAAATGTACTACATTCCCAGCAGGAGTAACCAGAATTTCGGGACTCTACAAATATAAAGGCCTTAATTTGACACCAAGCGAGTACACTTATGAATCACATCTGACACAAGCCTAAACTAGTCACTTGCACAGTTGTCATTAGGAAAACCATTCCAGGGTCTAGCATAGTCAATATTATATGATCAGCAGACTTGCCCCTGATCAATTCATATATTACTCTAAAGCACTTCAACTCCTTACCTGACTAATGGTTGGAAGCTTGGTCAGAAGCATCTGGAACACTGGCGGCGGAAGAGTCTGCTGTAACACTTGCAGCAGCTGCTGAGGCTGTCCACACACAGCAATTGCATTTGTCAGGTGGTCTACACCCTTCTCATATTCACCTGCAAGATTACACAAAACTATGTGTTATCTGAAGCCATCAAGAGTCACTAATTGATCCTAGCCAACATCACTGGCAAGTCCTCCAATAACCATAGTAGCTACCTATGTGTTGCCCACTATCATCTGGGTATATGAAACCTTCACTCTGACTTGCATGGGCAGTTCCTTTCCTGGGATTCTGAGATGTACTAATGCCCACCAGGAGAACCTGTCCAGGAACAGGCACTGAGACTGTGTCCTACCCCAACAGACACCAGGCCTCTTCTAAATCAGCACCTCCAATAATCTTTTGTTTACCCAGCAGTGGTAATGTTGCAGCTGGCTAGACCATCAGAGGAACTTAATTCATTCCAAGCTAAAGTACCATCTTGCTGCTAAGAACACAAAGTGCCTATCCTCTCAGGGGCACCTTGGAAAACCTATTCTTCTGTACTTAAGATTTTGATTAGAGCTGGGCATTGGTGGCGCACTCCTTTAATCCCAGACTGGGGAGGCAGAGGCAGGCAGATCCAAGTTCGAAGCCAGCCTGGTCTACAGAGGAAGTTCCAGGACAGCCTCCAAAACAGAGAAACCCTGTCTCAGAAAACAAAACAAAAAAGATTGATATTAGTTTTCCTATTCAAATTGTTCATAATCTAAGAAAAGTTTGAAAACTAAGACAGCTAGGGCTATTACACAGAGGAACCCTATCTCAAAAAAACCAAAAAAAAAAAAAGATATATAAGGAGAAAGATTAAACCAAGCATCAAAACAATACCATCTTTCAATACAGGTGATTGAATAAATGAGGCCCAAAGTAATTAAGCATATTAACTGATCAGATTTGAAACAGGATGCTAAATGCGAAAAGCATCTGGTGTGAGATGGCCACCCTGGCTATCAACATGACTACATTACATTTAAAGTGAACGGAAATCCCAAAAGCAGCTGGGCACTGAGGTTTTTATTTCCCGGTTGGACTAAGGTTGGAAACCCACCCTAAATCCTGGCCACACTTCCTGGAGACATAAAAGAAAGCTGTGCTTTTTTTTCCCTGTCTGCTTGCCCTCACTGACTGCAAAGTTCTATCCCAGACCATTCCCTTTCCACAGTAAGAACATACTTCAAGATTCCAACATGGACAGAAAACAACTGGCAGCTGTCTAGAACATCCCTGGGACTCCAGCACCAGATCTGGACTGCTGATTAATCAGTCTTGTGAACTGAACTACCAGATCATTGGCCTTTCTGTGAGGACATAGCTGTTGCTGGTGTGTCTATTCTATTGTTTCCGTTCCTTAGAGCCCTGATAAATTAACTTTCTTTTGGACTTTAGCAAACACTGGGAAAACCCATCATTATCAGGTGAGTGCTAGCAAACTCGGATCATATCCACTCAGTATTTATACTGCACTACAGACACACACACACACAAGCACTGTAGATTTAGTCATTTCTGTACGAACAAAGTTCTCTCCTAGTTTCATTCAACTATTACCTTATCTTCCATATCCTGTGACAAAGAAAGTATGCATAAAAGTCACTTAAAACACAGTGCCAGACAATGGCAACCTATAAGTCTTTCTGAAGCCAGACTTGGTATGGAGTACCAAAAGCCCACCTTGAAATGTTTAAAATCCTAATTCTACTTTCTGAATCTTGAAATGGCTATTACCTTGTGCTAGCAACTCTTCACCAAGCTGTATCTCTTCAAGAAAGAATTTTTGAACAGCTTCAGCATCTTTTAAATCAGGCAACTGGAAAAGAAGTATGTAGAAATTATGCTGCGAATATAATCAACGTGGAAAACCAATAAAATTTAAATGATGCTGGCTGGGCAGTGGTAGTCTTTAATCCTAGCACTCAGGAGCCAGAGACAGGTAGATCTGAGTCCAAGGCCAGCCTGTGCTTCCAAGTGTTCCAGGGCAGTCAGGGCCAGAGAGCCGGTCTCAAAACACACCCCCCTCAAAACAAAACAAAAAACACACCCCCCAAAAAAGTGCATCCATTCTAAGAACAAATACCCTAAATTAAAAGAGGAAAAGCCAGGCGTTAGTAGCGCGCACGCCTTTAATCCCAGCAGAGAAACCCTGTCTTGAAAAACCAAAAAAATAAAAATAAAATTGTAACTTAGAATATAAACGACTTCATCTTTTCTTTTCATAGGTCCTGTGTTCATAATTTTTAATGACTACGTAGGTTTTTATAAAACCTGTTTGATTAAAGTAAACTAAGTAAATGCTAGTCACTGTCCATGTCACTTCCCTCTTGCTGATATTCTTTCTCTGGATTTGTAAACCATGAGCTATAGGATCACTAATCCATTCTTTTAAAAGCATGCTCAGGCAAGGACAAATGGGATTGATAAATGTTACACTTTAGTCATTTTGAACCAGTTGAGTGATCAGCATAGCTAACAGGATATGGTTCTAGAGAACTGAAGCTGGGAATTGCTGTTTTTCTGATATGTTCAGACTACCTTTCTAAGACTGGAATACAGAAAGTGAGAACTGTAGACCTGTGTGTACGTGTGAGTCTGATAGAGGCACGTTAAGGTTTGAGGGGTAGAGCCCGTCATTGTGTGTGCCAGCAAGCACTCTACCTCTGAGCTGTACCCCTTTCCCTGTCAGTCGCTTATGGCTGTTTATCATATAAATTAGAAGTAACCGATGATCAACAAATGCATGGTGAGTATGCTGTCATTTTTCAGTATGCTCTGCCATTTGAAGCTCAGTGATCCCTCTGAGGCCAGAGGTTTGTAGGTTTATGGCCAGCCTGGCAAGATCCTGTCAAAATAAGAATGGCACTGTGAATACAGCTTTTCTAGTGTACAAACAGCCCTAGGTTCAACCTCAAGTCCCACCAACAAAAAAGTGTACATCTCTGAATATATATGTACACACGTGTAGCATATAGGGAGAAGTCTTTTGGGTGCACATGAAAATGTATGAAATATGACAATAGACAATACAGATATTTGTATTCTTTAGTCGTTGTCCCCCTCCCCCTTTTGAGACAGGTTTCTCTGACTGTCCTCAAACTTTTTAGACAAGGCTGGCCTGAACTCAAGAACCACCTGCCTCTGCCTCCCAAGTGCTGAGATTAAAGGCATGCGCAACCACCGCCCAGCTAATTTGTTTTTGCTTTTCGTTTTTAAATCCATCAGAATCAGGTACAATCCTGATCCACAGCTTTAAAAACTTTTAAAGACCTTTGGTTCCTTTTGCCTGCCTGAATTTTTTAAATACTAGAATTACAGGTGTGGATCACTTAAAGGACACAAAAGGAAGGAAAATACAATCAAATGCTGTACTTTGAAGTAGCTGAGAACACTCTTCATCTCTTGTAGCCCACATCTCTAGAGACCCTCAGATGAAAGGAAAATATAGCAGGCCTGGATTACCTGCAGTCTAAGTTACTCTCTTACACACAAAAGCAGACTATTTTATTACCTTGGAAAGCCCAGCTCTTTCCTTAGCAAGTTTCTGTTTCTTTCTTCCTACGAGAAAAACAAAAATAAAATTTCACTTGGTTATCAACAGAAGAATTAACACATCTAATTACTCCAGCAGCCATTAATTCTACAAAACATTCTGACTCCAGAATCCCTGCCTCCCTGGTCCATGGTAAGGGAGCTGGCATTTCTGGATAGTAGCTTTCTCTTTTCCTCTGCATCACCAGGCCTAGCAATTCACATGATAGAAACTGTTTCAACAGCTGCACTCCAGTAGAACAAATTTTCCAAAGTAAAAGCATTAAGGGATTTTTACTGAATCATACTAGATTCTAGCTTTACCATTAAAATTTATGCAGCATTCTTAAGCAACACCGTTTTGTAAAAACCATTTTTTTAGACAAGTTCTGTATATTCAGGCTGGCCTGCATCTGTTACACAGCCAAGGTTCCCAACTTCTAGATCCTTCTGCTCCAGCTCTAGAGTTCAGGGATTACAAGCATGCAACAAGGTCCCAGTTTGAACAATAATAAAAAAGGGCAAGAGGTGCTGCTCCAAAAAGCACTCTGAAAGCAGTACCTATGGCTGGTTAGTTAAAAATGGCCTCGCTGCTCTATAATGCATGCCCCATAAGAAAGAACAATAGTGTATGGGACCATCTGCCCTATTTGTTTCATCTTACAAATAGTAAGGTATCTCGTCCTCATCAAAACTGATCTAATAATAGTAGCTATATAATTATGGGGCTTTCAGCAGGCTTGTGAGTTAACAGATGTAAACATTTGCCAAGAGTGCCTAGGCTCTGCCATTTTGGCATCCCCTAATCAAGACCTAGAAAGTAACACTCACTCAATACTATGACCTGAACAACCAGGTGAAAGCTCTCTCTACGTACTGAGTAAATATTAAGCAAGAAAAATCTAACTTCAGAAAGTCTCTGAAAACCTTAAAATACTCTATGAATCCAAGTATCAACACAAGACTAAAGGACCTATTGTTAATTCTTAAAATGTAAGAACAGCTACTCAAGCATCTTCAGACCTCTTGTCCTCAGACACTATACATTCACATCATTCAGATGAAACACCTCAAAACAGAGAATTGTGTAATTAATGCAATGAAAAATACAATGTACCAAAAGAAAAATAACAAAAAGGTAATGAATCCCATTGGAGTTTTCCATAACCATCTAACCTACTAACATAGTATATGGGTGTAGTTTCATAAAAGTGTCTCTGTTTAGGGACAGATGATAATAGACTGAGGGGAGAACCTACAGGAAGAAGGTATACAGTCCATCAGCAAAAATATCTGGTCTTGCTTTTTTATTTGACATTAGTAAACCTATAAAGTTTAAACTATATCCACCTAATAAAATGCAAACAAACAAACATGTAAGCCAGGGCTTTTGGCACTAGTCTTTAATATCAGTACTTGAGGCAGAGAGGATCTTTGAGTTCAAGGACAGCCAAGATTAGAGACCTTGTCTCAAAACAAAGCCATGCAAAGCTTAAGTTCAGAACCACCCCAAATGCAAGCCATTATTTAAACACTTAAACCCTCAACTTAAGCTCGTTTTATTAAATAGAAATGACTCGAGAAACTATACTTTTACTGTAGATGTAAATGAGTCAAATTCAAACTACTTAAATTTCTAAGAATCACTCAACTATATAGCTTTAAAGACACTGTGAAATTACTCATTACTTGCTAGCAAAAATTTGCCCAAAACCAAAAATAAAAAAATTCTAACATTAATTCCATTATCAGCTAACGTACTAAGAACCCCTAAAGTGCCTTCTTGTCACAGCTGCAGTTAGTTAATTCACTTAAATCATTAGGCTATGGCTAAAGCTGGTAAACACTCCCCCAACACCACAAACCTGCTAGAACAGAACGTGATAATAAGGGCAGTGGTGGAGGACATAGTCTGCAAACGGCCTTGAACCCATCGACAGAAGGGCAAAAGGAAAGTACTGAAAAGGTTACTTTGAAAAGAACAACCCTAGCAGGGTGTGGTACCCCACGCCTTTAATCCCTGCACTGCAGAGGCAGATTGATCGGAGTCCTGAGGCCAGCCTGGTCTACAGAGTCCCTGTTTCAAATAAAAAACAAACCCAAACCACCCTAATTTTCCTAAAATTAAAACGTATGATTTCTTCATCCAAAAGCCATTTCCTGGGATTTCCAGCAATGCTTTCTAAAGGAGTTAACCTGCTTAGACACAGCCCCAATGCATCTTTGAGCAGCCTGCACTCGTGTGCTCTATCCAACAGCCACACTTCATAGCTAGCATTTATGCAAGGGTCTTCTCTCTGTCTCGCATAAACCGTGGTGTGCAAACCGGGCATTGGTGGTGCACGCCTTTAATCCCAGCACTCGGGAGGCAGAGGCAGGCGGATCTGTGAGCTCCGAGGCCAGCCTGGTCTACAAAAGCTAGTTCCGGGACAGCTTCCAAAGCCACAGAGAAACCCTGTCTCGAAAAGCCCCCCCGCAAAAAAAAAAAAACCACAAAAACTGTGGTGTGCACCAAACTCACCAGACAAGAGGTAACTTATACTATACAGTTAGGAAAGATTTGGAGGGGACGGGTGGGAGGTTGGTGGGGGAGGAGGGGAGGGAGCTCGGATTGACATGTGAAACAAGCTTGCTTCTAATTAAATTTAAAAAGTGGGGGTAAAAAAAAGTTAAAAGATTTGGAGTTCATGCTGGTGACCGACCAGTAAACGATCTGGTCCCAGAAACGCAGTCTGAATCTAAGCAGCCTTCTTTCCATTACTCTACCTAGTCATGGACAAAAACAAATTATCTATCTCCCCACATGATGGAAATGATGGGCTACTGTGGGCAGGCAGGCTCAAAAGGGCTAGAACCCCTGTAACAGGCGGTAAAAGGAGGGTATTGTCTCCAATCACCTCTACCTACAAAAAAAAATTTGAAATGACTTAGGACGGCTTAATTAAAGAAGTAGGAAAGGCTGGATAATGACTCGAGCTACTGACTGACTGTCCTAAACAATGCGCAAAACCGCTCATTATTCCAGCATTGGACTGTTGAAATCCGTGCCTTGAAATTCAAGTGCGGATCACGCTGGTTAAGAGCGCCACGACTTGCCTCCGGTAAGCCTCTTCAAAGATGTCGCAGGTATGAAATAAGACTGAACCACGTGAGGAGTGCAGCCCTTTGGACTCCCCCGCATTTTCTCTAGCATTCACTCATATCTTGGAAGCACCAGAGCGAAGCCGCCAAGAGGGTTTAAGAATGCAAGGATGACACCGCACTGACTCTGCGGGTTGAGGCTTTGGCTAAAATGCTTCTACGTAAGAGATAGCACTTTCGGGGTAAGGACTGGTTTAGCCATATGTAGGCGCCGGTCTGTAAAGCCAGCAATGGGAGGCACCACGAGTTCGAAGCCCCAGTCAGAAAGGAACGAAAGCATTTTTTTTTAACAACCGTGAAGTAGGAAGAGATGGTTCATGCCTGTTATCATAGCACTCGAGAGGCTTAAGCAGGGAGGAGCTGCCACGAGGTTGATATTAGGACCCTATCTCAAAACACGCACCCCAGCCCACAGCCACCGAAGTTTAGTGGAGTGAATGGAGGCTGGGAGAGGTGACTCATCCTATTTATTACCTGGAAGGCTAAGGCAGGAATGCCAAGGCCTCAAGCCCACCCGGGACTAAAGGCCCGTCGTGAAGAGAAAAATATTAAAGACAGGGGGCAGACAGATAGAAAGTGCTACCCATCCCGGGAGCCAAGCGTGCATTCCACCGCCAGCAAGATGGAGCCAAGTCGCCTCCAAGATGGAGGCCGGCGGGCACAGGCGGGACCCAGGCCGCAGCGCGCGGCGCCGGGGAGGCCTCTTGGGGGCGCGTAGGCCCGAGGGGACCAGGAGGCGCGAGGGCCCACTCACGTTCTCGAAGCCTGTTCTTGAAGTTGGGGTCACTCCGCCTTTTGCGGTCAAAGTAGATGCAGTACCCGATGAAAAGGGCACCGCACACGCCCGCGGCGATGGCACTGTTCCGGCCCACCATCTTCGCTCGGCTGGGGCTTGTGCCGGGCCTCGGAGGCCCGCCAAGCAGCGGTTAGCTCCGACAGACCGGAGCACGCCAGCCGCTCGCAGGCCCAGTCCAGACGGAAAAGGCCGAGCACCAGCACTTCCGGTGCGCGAGGACCCCGGAACGTCCGCGGCGGTGCCTGAGCGGGGACGCCTAATGCGCGTGCGTAGACCGCCTAGCCTGCGCGGGGGAAGTGCCCTGCTGGGGGAGGGGCGCGCACTGCGGGAGGGTTTATTCGTCATCACGCGCTAATCCCCAGGGTCCGTGGCATGGTGGTAGCACGTGGTTGTGGCGCACTGTGTCAGAAGCCCTTATCCGCCATCCTTGCTTGTCAAAGACAAAGGTGAGAGCCTGCTAGAGCAGCGCCTCACCTCACCGTGTCCTTCAGGGATCCTGTGACTTGAAATGCATGCATTTGATTTTTACATTTTTGAGAAAGACTCTTTGTATCAGGCCTGGAAATGGCTGTGTAGTCTGCCCTGGCCTCAAACCTGCAATCCTCCTGAGTAATGGTATTACAGGCCTGCACCATCAAGCCTGGCTGAATTTGATTTTTAAGTTGCGACTGAACTTGAACACAATAACTGATTTTAAAATAATGCTATGATGCAGCCCCATCTTATGCTATGGGGAAGAAAAATGGGGAAAAAACCTGTGAGGGAAGTAGAAAGGCAATAAAAGCCTCAGGATAGTTCCTATTTGTGCCCTTAGGCTGCCATTAAGCTGTAAATTCTTTTTGTTTTGTTTTGTTTTCCACAGGGTTTCTCTGTAGCTTTGGAGGCTGTCCTGGAACTAGCTCTTGTAGACCAGGCTGGCCTCGAACTCACAGAGATCTGCCTGCCTCTGCCTCCCGAGTGCTGGGATTAAAGGTGTATGCCAACCACTGACCGTCCTAAACTATAAAGTATAGCAATTCTCTGGTGTTTTAAGTGAAATTAGGCCACCTGTCAGTACTAAAGGGACATACCTCTTCCTGGGGAGCTGGGGCAGAGCTAAGCATTATTGAATATTACAGAGCACTGGTAAGTGCTGTTAGGATGGGTGTTTCTTGTGAAGCAACCCATATGCTTTAAACACACCCTCTGCTACCTACAGGACACACTGCAGACTTACTGTATTAGAACACTTGTACCACTCTTTTTTGCCATCAAAAGCCATAGTGGACTCTGGATGTGAGAAGCACTTCCCTTACTGTTCCAGAATTAGTGTAACACACAAGGCTTCTTTTGCATGTAGTATTGTTGTGATTGATTGTTGCAATCACTAGACCACCTTCCTCCCCCACAACCAGGTTGTTCAGTTCGATTTTTTGGAAATGTGTGCATGTGCAGAGAAACCAGAGCTATCCTTTGGGGCAGGGCCAGCAGCCTCCTGAAGCTGGGACTGGTGTTTTCTCTAATAAGCCAGCAAGCTCCAGCAGTCTCTACTTGCTTGGCAGCTGCAGTTACAGGTCTGCACCAAGCAGCCGTCAGTTCAAATTTTTGAGTCAGCTAGGAGATGCTGTCTTGTCTCGGTGCCTAGCATTACAACATTAGACCTAATAAAAAGACTTCTCCCAACTGATTTTTTTATGTAGCAGCTAGAGGGGTGGCTGTAGAGTGACAGCAGTGGCTGTAGAGTGACAGCAGCGGCAACCGTGCCCACACCACCACCCTTCTGTGGCAGTAGCAGCAAGCAAGAGTAGGATGGCAGCGAGCAGAAGCTGAAAGGAAGACAGAAAACTGGAGCTGAAGATAAGAAACCGATGCCTCTGATCATTGCAAGAGTTCCAGGAAACAGCCACACCTGTCAGAAGAGGATACTGACACCCAAGACCCCAGATCTCTAACACTGGCCACCCAGGATGAGGGTCCCAAGGTCTCGAGGCTCTCCCAGGGGCGATAACATAAGCAAATATTGCTGCCATTACCTGTTCATAGAGTCAAGGATTTCACTAGCTGACCAGTGCTGGGCTGGTGGCAATCAGAACCCAGAGCTATCTGGTTTGCAAGGCCTGAACCCTAATACTGTTTTTTTCAGGACTGGGAACTTTAAGCCTCTGGATCTGTGAGCCCCAGCTTAAAAGCTTAACACTCAAGGGCCCAGGATTACCAACTGTACAAAAGCTATTCTTTGCCGATTTGATTTCCATCTGAGCAAACAAATGCCAGCCGGTTCATTAGTAGTGGTGAGGCCCACCCACCACACACTGGCTGGCATTTGAAGCAAAGGCAGTCTGGTAGAACACTGCACCCTGCACTTATGAAACCTGGTCTGAGAAGTTGGTATCGAAAGTTACCACACAGATAATACGTGTCGCTGGAGGACCTAACCTAGCCTGGGAAAGCCCTGCTGTAAGGATGAACATGAGCTCTCCATCAAAACAGGAATGATCCCTGAAGGCATGTGTGTACTAGTGAAATGAGCTTGGGCAATGGCCAGCGGTAAGGATATAGAAGGGCAGACAGAAGCAAGGCAGACAAGGCCCGTACAGCGGAGCAGCACAGAAGGCTGCTTGCTTACATTCTGAACGCATTGTGATCTTCCTCATCCCCAAAAGCTACCTGTGAACCTCAACTTCCTGAGCCTTGGGTACATAGGACAGGAAATAGTTACCCAAAGCCACAGAGTGGGCATGAGAGGCCATGAAAGCCTGACATGGGTAGTCTTCATAGCCATGACTTAGGGGTAAGCCAGAACAGGGTACCCTTTTCTTTCTTTTTTTTTTAAGATTTATTTATTATGCATACAGTGTTCTGGCATGCATGCCAGAAGCAGGTATGGGATCTTATTATAGATGGTTGTGAGCCACTATATGGTTGCTGGGAATTGAACTCAGGACCTCTGGATGACTAGCCAGTGCTCTTAACCTCTGAGCCATCTCTCCAGTCCCAAGGTACCCTTTTCTTATGAATAATAAATGCAATGAGATAGCAACATGTTAACACAAAATCATGCACAACCACAAACGCCTGCAGTGTAAGCAGCCTGGAAAAAGAAAAGTTGTACACAGGCTCTGCTGCAGTCCTTAGAGTTGTCTACAGTGAGGAGGTAAAGGGTAGGCAACCAAAGCTTCCTACACCTCCCATCGGAAGAATTCTTTAACTACATGTAAGCCCAGCGGAAATATTTGAGGCCGTTAGGGAAAAATGTTCATGAGAAAAAAAATGACCAATTCTCATGACTACAAAACACATGCCCCGTATTTTATTATAACTAAAAGCCAACTTCTAACCACTGTCAACCACTCATACATAGTCTTGTGGCTGAAAGTATATATGTAATCAGATATAACAAGTATTTTTCCAGATAAAAATAATTATACAGAGTATTTTAGGAAAATGTTCTATAAAATGTTTAATGTTTTAAACAGTAAGTAACACACACATATTTTGCTTATGAAAGTAGAGACTTCAACAATTACAGTGGTTCAGTGAGTAAAAGTGCATGCTGTGAAAGGAGAGAACTCTGGAGTTCTCTGACCTCCACGTGGGGAGGAATTGTGGTATGCTTGCACCTGCATCCACATTATGGACACAAATAATAACAGTTAAATACACACACACACACACACACACACACACATATATGGCAAATTATGTTATCTGCTATGCTTTAAGCTGCTCACTCACAGGAGTCATACATATGCACACAGATTATATATGAACACACAATCTCATGTTGCGTGATATTGTTGAGATTTAACTGAAAAGGTTCTAAATACTGTAAGAGAAACAAAGCATAAATATCTAGACTTGGATACAGGAAATGGAGCTTCCTCTGTTTTTTTGGGGGGGTTCAAAACAGGGTTTCTCTGTATTGTTTTGGAGGCTGTCCTGGAACTCATTTTGTAGACCAGGGTGGCCTCGAACTCACAGAGATCCTCCTGCCTCTGGCTCCCGAGTGCTGGGATTACAGGCGTGCACCACTAATGCCTTTCTCTGGTCTTTAGAGCTACACTTTTATTTTTAAGTGTATGTAAATGTCTGTTTGTAGTTGCATACATTAGGATAGGTGCCTGAGGAGGCCAGTGGAGTTGGACCTAGGAGCTTATGTTACAGGCAGTTGTGCTAGGAATTGAACTCAAATTCTGTGCAAGAGCAGTACATGATCTTTTTATTTATTATGTATACACTCTTCTGCCTGCATGCCAGCAGAGGGCACTAGATCTCACTCAAGGTGTTTGTGAGCCACCATGTGGTTGCTGGGAATTGAACTCAGGACCTCTGGAAGAACAGTCTAGTGCTCTTAACCACTAAGCTATTTCTCTAGCCCCACATCAAGAAGCCATCTATCTAGCTTCTAAGGCTACCTTTTAAATACCTCATTAGATTTTCTACATAGGATTTCCCAAAGACAGAATTTTCAAAACTAAATGAGTGAAAACTCATTCTGCCCTCTTGTCTCCTTACGTGACAGGATGTGTTTAATACATACTCTGCCTGCCTGAATCAGTCACCTTGACTTACCACAATTCTCCATCCTAGACCCAGCCTCGGCTTGATAAGATCAGTATCATTAGCTGTAACCAAGCCAAGCTCCTAGAAGTCACAACAGTATGCTATCCAGTCATTCATCATTAAAGTCTGATTTAATTACCTTGATTCACTATGAAACACTGTCATTCATTCTGAGTGATACTAATTTAAGGATCACATTTTTCTGAGAGAATTTTTCCTATAAACCAGCTTTACAGGCACCTGTCAAGGACAGTAATGACCACTCCAGTTGTTGGCTATGTACTAGGAGTCAGTCACACATCTCCTGGTGTTCTTACTTGTTAGCAATTATTAGATGGATGGAATAAGATAGAACCATAGATTTCTACTACAAGTGCAAGAGACTGAAAAAAGAGAGGCAAAGAATGGATGTATATTATAAACATCTCACAAGTCTTTGTTAGGGACCATGACTACATTTGGAATCAGTATTCCCACAGTAACCATCTGAACACATGGTCTAAGCACACCAGTATTAATGTTTATTATTTTTCTGCAAATCCATTTCTAAGAACAATGCTTCAAAGAAGTCTTAGATATACTACAAACACAAAAACAAAAAACAAACAAACAAAATAAAACCACTGTGGAAGTCTCGACATTTTCCACACAATCCATAAAAACCCAGACATTCATTGCAAGGATTCACCACAAAAAGGAAGGAAGCAGCTTCAGTCATTACTGCTGTTTTTTGGCTTCTTTGTTCTTACTTTTTTCTTTTGTCCTTTCTTCTTTTTCATGAGAACTGCCTTTTCTCCAATAAATGCTTTTTTGGAATGTCCTGAATCTTTGGAAGTAAAATTAAGTTTCTGCTTAGGTTTACTTGCATTCTTCAAGCTTGGATTTGAATTCTGTTGTTTTAGTTTTTCTTTATTAACAGAACGCATGACTCTCAGTTTTCTTCCCATAAGCTCAGAATTATTTAACTTCAAAGCAAGATGAACAGCATCTGTAGTCTGTAATAATAATAATAAAAGAAACATTAATTTCCACCAGAAACCCATATGTAATGAGACCAGTAAAGTCAGAATTCAATCTTAAAGCTTGCACACAGAAGACCTTCTGCTCTGTGGCCTAAAGGTCAAATCCTAATGGTTTTGGCATCCCTGCTTGAACCCCCTGTTGCTCATGTTATACTCCAGATTATCTGGCAGCACTCAAACTACCCCAGCAAATGCTCACAGTTTCTTTAAAAGAGAAAGCAGCTCATAGGCCAACCTATGTAAGTGGATGGCAGGAAACTCTCCTACAGTCCCTATGATGTAGGACTAGAGACTGTAGAATGTTCTACAAGTCCAACTCCTATTTCAACACAGAATGATTAATATTATTTTGAATGTTGAGATGTTGCAAGAACTCTACAAGGTTCTTAAAGAGGCGAGTTACATCTAAACAGAGTAACGAATAAAATCAGTGCAATAGAGCAATAGAGACCTCATGCACACCAGACTCTTCTAAAACCTCCTAGGCAATACCTATCAAGAGTCAAAGAGCCTGTGTGCTAGACAGCTGTCTCATTCAGTAGTTAAGACTACATACTGCTCTTAAGGAGATTTGGAGTTCAGTTCCTGGCACCCATGCCAAGTGGCTTGCAACCACCTGTAACTCCAGCTAGCGGGGAATCCCACATCTCTGGCATGGGTACCTACACTCATATACATATTAAAAATTAAGAATATTAGAAAACACTGATTAATAGTCACTGAACTCAATATAAGTAACCTTGTACAGGGACTAAAATTTCCTTCTAAAGTGTTTGCTCCATTTTATAGAAGGTAAAATTCAGAGGTTTTAGTTCCTCTAACACCCAACATCTAGGGTATTACTTAGTACGGTTAGCATGCACAAACAAGGAACTACAACATGTTTTGTTTGGGACAGATCTACCCACAACACTCTGTGGTGGTGGGTATGAATTTAGCTTCCCTAAGTCAGAACCTGGGAATTCGAATAACAGCACTATCTGAAAGCTGACAGAACTGACAACCTCCGCAAAGGCATTTCAAAGAGCAACAGTGCATTAGTATTCCATACCTCGAAGAGCACATAGCCAAACCCTCTGCCGACTCCTGTCTGTGGGTTTCTCAAGACTCTCACTGCCACAATACTCCCACAGTCCAAAAAGTGTTCCTCCAAAGCAGCCTCTTCAATTTCTGCAAACAAATGCAAGCACAAATGAGGTGACCATGTGGACACTCCTCAGAAAGCTGGAGAGGCCTGACAACACTTTAAGTTAGGCAAAGCCCCATGAAAACACAGCATTTTTACAGCGCGCCTCTCAAAGCTGTTCACAAGATGCCAGGTGGTGGTGGCACACACCTTTAATCCCAGCACTCAAAGAGGCAAAGGCAGGTGGATATCTGTGAGTTCCAGGGCAGCCAGAGCTGTTTTACAGAGATACCAGCTCAAAAACAAAACAAAACAAAAAAGCTGGTCATAAGCAAATCATTAAATTATTCATGTTTTGTTTGTGTGGTTTCTGGTAGTAAGGGAATTGAACTCAGAGTCTCACAAATGCCAGGGAAGTACTCTGCCACTCCAGCTCTTTCTAAAATTTCCTCTGAGGCAGCTACTAAATTGATCTTCACTATTCAATCTCCTGCCTTGGCCTAAATAGCTGGGATTAAAGATATGCACTAACCCACTACACCAGAATTACTGTACTCATGTGTGGTAGGTCAGCCCCTGGCCACTAAACTATGCCCTGCCCCTTCCTTAACATTTAATAGCAACAGTTATACTTTTATTTGTTTAAACTAACTTACTGTAAGGAAGATTCCCCACAAATACCGATCTCTTGTCCCTCTGGAAAATACAAAAATGAATAAAAACCAGACAGTGCATTAGAAAACAGAAAATTACCCTTCCCCCCACCCCCACCCCCCGCATATATCCCTCCACTTCCTAATCTGATCATATACCTGTCTATGTCTGTTCTAATCATACTTCTGCATAGTAAGTGAGCTAGCACTGGAGGAGAGACTGCATTCACAGTAGTACTCACAGGCAGGGCTTAGGGATGGCCTGCTATTTGAAAGTTTTACCTGTGAGAAGCCAATCAGCAAACACTTTAGGCTCTAAGGCAATGGTTCTCAACGTGTTGGTTGTGAGCCCTTAAGTAGTCCAATGACCCTTTCACAGGGATCATCTAAGCCCATCAGAAAACACAGATATTTACATTACAATTCATAACAGTAGCAAATTACACTTACAAAGTAGCAATGAATATTATGATTGGGGGTCACCACAATATGAGGAACTGTATTAAGGCCAAAGCATTAGGAAGGTTGAGAAACACTCAAAAGTCTACGGGCCACATGATCTCCATTGCAACTTCTCATCCTACTATAATAGCTTAAGACACAAGAACTAACTTGTGGTTGTGTGCAGTTAATTTTATTAACAGATATGGCCCAAGCACCAAAGCTTGTTGACCCTCTGTGGTATCTTTCTCCAGTCCAGCTAGAGGTTTTACACTGACAGTTGTTTTCTTTCAACTGAGTAACCCTGACACCAAGAGAAGTACACTGTTACAGACTAACTCTAATCCTTCACTGTCTGGAGACACAGCTGCCAACATTCTCTAGCACTGAAACTTTGGACCTGCTCTTAGACAAGACCAGACTGCATGAAGCAAGGCAAAGCAGGGTTTCATGGTTTGCCTGTTAACCTATCTATCCAATAGCACTCAGCCCCCATAGACCCATTAACCACACAAAGCTCTTGCCATTCCCTGGGCAAGTAAGGTTTCTGTCCCCAGTGTCTTCACTTCACAGATACTGCCACTGTGCTTTGAAAACATTTTCCTCCCAGGTAAATCTTTTAAGAGTCATATGAGATCTGTTCTACGGCAAACCTTCCTTGTCCTTTCTTGTTGGTCTGTCCCCAGGTGCACCATTCCAAGTGGACAAAACATCCTGTGCTTATGACAGCATTTACCATAAAACAGAGCCACAGCCTGTCCCTGTGTGTCTCCAGCACGTACCAAGCACATAGAGAGTCTTCAGACTGTTCCTTACCTCTAATAAATAACAATTTCCTTTTGGTTTCTGAGACAGGGTCTCACTGCACAGCCCAGTGTGGCCCAAAATGTGTGATTCTCCTATCTCTTCCTCCCCAGCACTGCCACAGGCATGAGCTAACAGCCTAACATGAACAACAACTTTCCTGACTTTACAGTCTGTTAAAATGGTGCTGGATCTGATGACCTCTTATTTTTCTCTAAACATTTGGTCATGGAAAAGTATCTTCAAATGGAAAGTGACCTGCTTGTGAAGGTAATGTTCACCTGAGCCCACTGACCCTCTGGGCACCAATACTGCGTCCCTAAAAACAAAGGTTTCTTTCTCCCATTTCCCTCCTGCTCACACCACTGGTTCCACCTTTCCATGAGGCTCATGGTATGTTCTTCTTGTTGTTATCTTGTTTTCTTTTTTATTTATTTGAAATACAGTCTCACACTGTCACCCAGGTAGGCCTGTAATTCCTGTCACTGCTTCTGTCTCACCCTCCTGATGCAAGGATTACAAGCATGAGCTACCGTACCTAGCTATCTTGTTAAGATTCTTAAACAAATCACATTCTACTTACAGAGGTGGTTTCAGATGCAAGATCAACTCGAATACGAAATCCTTCTTCAATCTGGGCTCCATTTCTAATTATAAAGACAAGGGGGGAAACAAGTTATGGAAACATTTACTGTAATGAAGCCAAGTAATAAACCCATGTCTAAAGGACAAAGGACAACACTGCATTCAACCCCAGGCAGGATTACCTTTGCAGTGATAAACCCATGTCTAAAGGACAAAGGACAACACTGCATTCAACCCCAGGCAGGATTACCTTTGCAGTGATAAACCCATGTCTAAAGGACAAAGGACAACACTGCATTCAACCCCAGGCAGGATTACCTTTGCAGTGCTTTTGTAGCAGCACTCTCATCCTTAAACACTACATATGCATTGATGCTTTTCTGGTCAGGATGAAATTTACGTCTACAGAAAAAACAGAAGGAAAAACTTGCTAACATCAAACTCAAGAGAAAAATCTAGTTTTGTTTTCTACAATCAATACATGATAAGACTTGCAGACTGGAAGCTCTACATTGTCAAGTAAAGATTCAGTAATTTGAAAAAGAACATAGATATATAAAGATAGCAAAAGGAACAAAAAGCCCACGCTTTCTTGGGAGTCATCACTGTGAGGGAACGGTAAGAACAAGACACCCACATGTGCCAACTAGAACAATAGAAGGATTAGAAATGTCATGCTGGCTCCAACTCTGTAACTAGCAAAACTGTTCTTTTTCACTGCAAGACACACAACCTAGAAATTGAACATCCACAAACAGCTCAGCACATAGGAGCCAAAGCCCTGGAGGAGCCCATCCATCGTTCTGGTGATCATCACCATCCATACTTACACATGGACTGCTTCTCTCCTACAATAGCCCTATAGCCCTATCTACTCTTACACATTACACTTTTACTTGTTCATTCTCCTTCAACCTGTCTTTGTTTGGCCTGCATTATTTCCAATAGCCTGAATTTGCTGGCTGTGAGAAAGCAGCTTGACATGCACTTTTGTCTTCTGACACTTGTATACTTGCTACTGCATCCAAAGATTTGATCTGGCTCAGACATGGCCCCTTTGTCAGGTCCACAATAAGTGTTACATTCTTTCTCAGAAAGGCATGCTATAGCTGCTCTTCACTTATGTGTATGTACGTGTGGAGGCCAGAGTCAACCTCATCTGTCATCCCTCAAGTACTGCCTACCATTTTTGTGTACATTTTAAAAATATTTGTTTATTTAGTTGTAGGTAAAAGAGGGGCAAGCACACTCACGTGGAAGCAGGGGACAACTCACAGGAATTAATCCTTTCCTTCCAGTATGTGGGTTCCATGGATTGAACCAAGGTCATTTAAGCTTGGAAGCAGGTACTTTTCCTTGCTGAGCCATCTTAGGTACTACCTAAAGTTTTGAGGCAGAGTTTCTCATTGTCCTAGGTCTCACCATACAAGCTAGAGAGCCTGGCCACTGGGTACCAGGGATCTACCTGGCTCACCTCTCCAGCACAGGGATTACAAGTGTGCCAACCACTATGCCCAGCTTTTTTACAAGAGATCTAGGTTTGGAGCTTAGGTCCTCATGCTTGCAAGGCAACCACTTATCTGACCTAGCCATCTCCCTAAGCTAGCTTTTCACCTTTAATGATTATGGCCTATACTGCTGCCCAAGACATACACTTGCAAAGGGGTAATATAATACGGATGTGATTCAGTAGAAAATAGTAATTAATATTAATGGTAAGACAGACTGGGGCTTAAGAGATGCCTCAGTGGTTAAGAGCCTTGTTGCTCTTGAAGGGGTCCTGGGTCAGTTATCAGCACCCACAGGGCAGCTCACAACCATCTGTAACTCCAGTTCCAGGGATGTGAAATCCTTTGCTAGTCTCCTCGGATACTAAATACACACATGGTACACATATATACATGTAGACAAAACAACCATATACGTAAAAAATAAAAATAAATAAATCTTGGATAAAACAGTAAAACAGACGTAGTAATGATCACTGGTTCTTGCCTAAAGATGTCAACCTGCTGCTGAAGTAATTAAAAGGCCCACACAATGAGCACTATTAAGAAGTAAACAGCTAAACAGTAACAGGCACACACATGACATGCTGCACTGCAGAATAACACCTTAAGTCTTTTCTTTTTTGGTTGAAAGAAATAGAGTTGGGTGTGGTGGCACACGCCTTTAGACTCAGCACTCCGGAGGCAGAGGCAAGCAGATCTCTGTGATTTCAAGGCGAGCCTGGTATACAGAGTGAGTTCAAGGGCAGTCCAAGTTACAAAGAGAAACCTTTTCTCAAAAACAGAAAAAGTAAAAGAAATAGAGTAGGGGCTAGAGAGGTGGCTCAGAGTTTAAGAGCACTGACTGTTCTTCCAGAGGTTCTGAGTTCAGTTCCCAGCAACCACATGGTGGCTCACAACCATCTACAATTCAATCTGGTGCCCTCTTCTGGCAGAACACTGTATATGTAATAAATAAATAAATCTTAAAAAAAAGAAAAATAGAGTAATAATAATAAATAAATAAGCCACGTAAAGTTGGAAAATACACAGAGAGTCTGGATACTGATGCTATTGTGTTGTCTTTGCTTGACTGCTGAGGAAATAGCAACAACTGCTAAAAGAAATGCTGCTGGATAAGTCCAATTTTTATATTTTAAAAATGTTTTGACTTCAAAAATCTAAGCTTAAGGGTATGTTATTTTGGAAAAGAGATTTTATTTGTGTTTCCACAGAAAATGCTGTGGATTCCTTCCAGACTAATTATGGTTTGATGAAGCAAAACCCACTGAAGCAGTGGCCCAGGTGATCCAACATTCTAAACAGCTGGGACAAGGCAGCCAGGATTTCTGGATTTTCTTAGGATACTAAAGACAGCAGCCCCAAATAGCAGGAAGCATCTTGGAGAGAACAATGCCCACATTCCCAAATACTGTTTTGTTTGTTTGTTTGTTTTTTGAAACATGGTTTCTCTGTGGCTTTGGAGGCTGTCCTAGAACTAGCTCTGGTAGACCAGGCTGGTCTCAAACTCACAGAGATCCTCCTGCCTCTGCCTCCCAAGTGCTGGGATTAAAGGCGTGCATTACCACCGTCCAGCTATTGATACAAATATAAGGTCAATTTTGTATATTTCTCCTCTTGTTTAGGTATTGTGTTTACACAAATCTTTTAAAATATAACATGTAATTAAATACAGATTGCATATAGTCACCTATACTAGTCAAAACTTAGAGTTAGGTTAGTTAGGTTTTCTAGATATACAGAGATATACATGAGATAGATATTCTTTTTTTTTTTTTTTTTTTTTTCGTTTTACAAGACAGGGTTTCCCCGGGGCTTTGGAGGCTGTCCTGGAACTCACTACGGAGACCAGGTTGGCCTCGAACTCGTGGAGATCCACCTGCCTCTGCCTCCTGAGTGCTGGGATTAAAGGCATGCGCCACCAACGCCAGGCGAGATAGATATTCTTCATGACAGTGAGGCACAACTGCTCCTGGCACACCAATTACATCAGAAAGGAGGATGGGCAATGAAAGAACTTATGGAATATGGTTTCTATACAGTGAGGCTAGCCCTTTGGGCAAGAAACTGCTCTTTCCTGGATTGTTTGACATGCAGGACCCACAGGAAAGTGACTGCTGAACTTACAAAAAAAGATGGACAGTCCTGAAGGGTTTGTGCTTCATAAAAGAAGCATTTCGAGACAGGGTTTCTCTGTATTATTTTGGAGGCTGTCCTGGAACTCACTTTGTAGACCAGGCTAGCCTCGAACTCACAGAGATCCACCTGCCTCTGCCTCCTGAGTGCTGGGATTAAAGGCGTGCGCCACCAACGCCCAGCCTTGTTATGGTTTCTTATTGGCTATTTCTGACTTAATTATTAACCCATAACTGCTAATCTGAATAGTTACACGTGGTCTTCTCTTACCAGAGAAAGGGTCCAGACCTCTTACTCCTCTCAAGTCCTACAGGGTGACTGACTGTGCCTCCGTTTCCCAGAGTCCTCCGCCTCTCCTAGTCCCACCTATCTTGCTTCCCTATTTGCCAACAATGCTTTTTTCATCAACCAATAAGACAAACATACACACAGAAGACCATTCCCCATCACCAGAAAATATAGGGGGCTAGAGTGTGCTCAGGGGTAATGTGTATGCTTAGCATAAACCAGGCCCAACATTCCATCCCCAGAATCAAGGTATCCATTAAGTATGGGGTGTCTGCTTATATAACACACTAGCACACTCAGAAACAGAAAGTAGGTGAGCAGCTGGCTGCCCATGGACAGACATGGAGCGACACACTGCAAGGGCACAGGAAACGGGGCTAGGGAGGCATTCAGGATGAAAACTGTGGCAATACTTTCATCACCAGAGCACTAGCATCACAGTCCTACAGGTGGTCAGATGTTGAGATGTTCCCCTATACACTGAGCACTCAGGAAACAAAGGCAGAAGAATCAGGAGTTCTGTGCCTACTAAACTATATAGCAAGACACAGTCTCAAAAATATAAGGGTTGAGCCGGGCGTTGGTGGTGCACACATTTAATCCCAGCACTAGGGAGGCAGAGGCAGGCAGATCTCTGTGAGTTCAAGGCTGCCAACCAGCCAGTCAAAAGAGCAAACCAAACCAAACAAACCAGGATTCAGTAGAGTTCACTGGCAGAACAGTCACCTAGGATGTACAAAGTACTAAGTTCAACCCCCAAATAGCAAAAAAGAAAAGAATCCTAAAGTTATACATCTCAAATGTTCCATTTTTTTGTTTGTTTTTGTTTTTTTTTTTTCGAGACAGAGTTTCTCTGTGGCTTTGGAGGCTGTACTGGAACTCCCCTTGGTAGTCCAGGCTGGTCTCGAACTCACAGAGATCCGCCTGCCTCTGCCTCCCGAGTGCTGGGATTAAAGGTGTGTGCCACCAACGCCCGGCTTCAAATGTTCCATTTTACTGAAGGTAAATTACACTTTAAATCAAAGAAGAAACAAACCTAAGTATAAAGTTTCCCATGGTATGATTCCTCATATGCCTCCCACATCAAAGTAAATGAAACAAACATTTATAACTTGTAACACTCTAGATATATAGAGATGTATTTGAGAGATAGATAGATAGATAGATAGATAGATAGATAGATAGATAGATAGATAGTCTTCAAACCTTTCAAAGACCTTCAGAAAATGGCATTTAAAATGGTTTAGGGTTTTCCTTGACAATGAGAAATGTCTGTTCCTGGCACATCAATTACATCTGAGAGGAAGATGGACATTGAAGAAACTCGTTATGGAGTTTGCTTTCAACATGGCAAGATTAGCCATTTGGGCAAGAAACTGCTCTTGCCTGGACTGCTTGACTGTTGCTGTATAAACTGGACATGCAGGACCCATAGAAAAGTGACTGCTGAACTCAAACAGTCCTTCAGGGTTCCTGCTTCATGGAAGAGTCTACGAGACTTTCTGCAGGACATAGAAAAACAAATGACAGACTGACAATGCAGATGGACAGTTTAAAATTTCCTGCTTTGCTGAGAAGTCTTCCAGACACATTATGGCTATGGGTTGAAGATGGATGCCCCAGCGTTACAGAGGAACTTCGGGTGTCCAGGTAGTGAGATGTCTCTGTCAATTCTAGGGTTTATATATTACCCTTCTGTGGTCTTTGATGGAATTGAAGACAGATAATTATAATTATAGTTTTCCTTAGTTATGATAAAAGATAAGCTACAGATAAGACTTTAGACTCACAAAGATAGATGATACTTTCTTTAAATCTTACTAAATGTTAATGGACAAAATATTTTAACTATGTTCTTACTTGATAACTGTTCTGTTATATATAATTTGATCATGTTGAAGTTAAAACCTTTCTCTTATTTTAGACAGAAAAGAGGAGATGATGGGAGATGTCATTCTGAAATCTGTCTCTTATTGGTTGTTGTTATTTGTTGTTGGCCAATAGGGAAGAAAGCAAGATAGGTGGGACTAGGAGTCAAGGAGGACTCAGGGAAGGAGAAACACAGGGAGTCACGATGTAGCCGCCATAGGGGTAAGAAGTCCGGACCATTTCTACAGTAAGAGAAATACTTAGATTAACAATTATGGAATAAATACTTAAGTCAGAGATAGCCAGTAAGAAACCAAGCAAACGGCCAATAGCTTCATAATTAATATAGCCTCCTGTGTGTTCATTTGGGACTGATGTGGCGGCGGGAAGGCTTCTCCCTACATAACACAAATGGCTGGTTGACTTCACCCCTATCAAGCAATTTAAAAACCAGTAACTTGAGCCTGGCATTGGTGGCGCATGCCTTTAATCCCAGCACTCAGGAGGCAGAGGCAGGCAGATCTCTGTGAGTTCGAGACTAGCCTGGTCTACAGAGCAAGTTCCAGGACAGCCTCCAAAACAATACAGAAACCCTGTCTTGAAAAAAACAAAAACAAGCCGGCCGTTGATGGCGCACGCCTTTAATCCCAGCACTTGGGAGGCAGAGGCAGGCGGATCTCTGTGGGTTCGAGGCCAGCCTCCAAAATGATACAGAGAAACCCTGTCTCGAAAAACCAAATAAAAAAAAAAAAAAGAAAAAAACAAAAACAAAAAAAACCCCACAAAACCCAGCAACCAATCAGATAAAAGACAAAGAACTCCCCTTGCATACAGGTGGATGCTCAATGCTCATTTACCTTGAACCACAAAAATCACTCTGACCTTCCAGGCCGCCCTTAACCAAAGAGCCAAAACCACAATTTTTATAAAATATAACTTCTACTATTTATAAAATATGTGAATATAAACAGGTGACTAACTCCATGGGATTGCAGTCAAATTATAAATGCAAAGTAGCCTTACCACAAGTTCACCCTACAGAAAAAGCAGAACATATACAAAATTACCCAGATATAAGATTATTCATTCCAGTTACTTATGACCACAAGATTGAAAAAACCAAAAAAAAATTCACTAATTAGCCATCAGCAAGTAAGCTTAAATAAATCAGGGTAGACCTTACAGAATATTAGGATGGTCTAAAAAAAATCTAATTATAAACTTACTTTATTGCAGCCAACTTTTTTGTTAGTGTCCCCTCTGCTGGCATCTTTCAAAAAGAAAAAAAAAAACATTAAAAATTTGAATTTGGATATTTTTTCAAATTGGTTAATATTTTTAATCTTCCCCTTTTTTCAGTGCTGGAGACTAATTTCAGTGCTTCATGTATGCCAACACGTGGTCTCCCTCTGCTACACCCCAGCCACATAAGTTACATTTTAGTTAAAGCCAAAATATTCCAACCACATGTAACTCAAAACACTTTAGGGAAATGGAATCAGAAACAACTATCCCAATGCTTGAGTCAGGAGTTGTGGCACACATCTACAAACCTATAATCCCAGCCCTCCAGACAAGACGAGGAATGTAAAGTTACCCTCAGCTACACAGTAAATTTGAGTTCAAGGTTACAGGAAGCCCTATCTCAAAATAAAAGGGGGGGGGGAGGAGCCCGGGACACGATACCATGAGGATTAAGATAATTCCACAGACAACATCACACTTAACAGCCACTCTCAAACAGCATGGGCACAAGTACAGACAATGGGTGCTCAAACTACAGGGTGACTCCAAGACAATGAAGAGTCAGGAAAAACACGACAAAAAGTTATGTAAAGTAAATGTGTGTGAGTGTCGCAACATTTCTAAATTAAACCTTACTTTTTATTCCATGTAATTTAAAGCATCTAAATTGGTAACAAGGACATGTAATTTTCTGGGTACCTAAGAGATTACATACCCAGTGGGTGCCAAAGTTCGTGGAGTCTTTATTTGTTTTAGACAGGGTCTTTGTAGCCCAAGCTAGCCATGGACTCAGTGTGTCTTTGGGGATGAGCTTGATTTTGGTCCTGTGGAACACACTCCAGTAGAACCAAGGGCATCCTATACCAGCAGCACAGCAAAAAGTAAAGTGATGAAGAAGCAGCTGCAGGAAGGGACACACAGGCCAAAACAAGCAGCTTCAGTTCAGGACAGTAAGTGCTGCTCTGAAAAGACGAGGCTGAGGAACTCACGGGACTACCACACACGCTGGTAGCCCATGGGGTGCTGTATAAATGAAAGGAGACTGACAGCTGTTCTAACAAAAGGAAGTAACATGACTGCAGAGACAGCTCAGCAGTAAAGAACATCAGTAGTTTTCTAGAGGACCCAGGCTGGTCTCCCAACATCAACACAAGAGCTCACCCCTGCCTAGACCTCCAGTTCTGGGGGCTCTGATGCGCTCTTCTGATCTCTAGCTGCACTGCATTCATATGACACACAGTCATAATTGAAGGCAAAACACCCATCCATACACATAAAATAAAAATAAATGTTAAAAAGAGATGCTTGATAAAAATAAAAATTTAAAAAAGAAGTCATGAATAGACATAGACCACAAAGAAAAGGAAGGAATGACTCAATTAGGGAAAACCCCCATGTGCTGTGGAACTTTCTACACTATAAATATGTATTATTCTCATTGGCTCATAAAAGCTGATTGGCCAATATCCAAGCAAAAACCTATAGGCAGGGTGATCAAACAAATACAGGGAGAAAGAAGGGTAGAGTCGGATAGATCTACCAGCCAGTCACCAACTGAGCACAACACACGTGGCAATACACAGATTAATGGGAATGGGTTAACTTAAATCTAAGAGTTAGCTAGTAACAAGCCTGAGCTATTGGGCAAGCATTTATAATACCAAGTCGCTATAATTTGAAAAGAGTTGCCAGGACAGGAAAACTCCACCTACACCCATGTGAAAGCAAGTAACAGGCTAGGTGGTTCAAAGGAATTAAAGGCAATGAATCAGTCTAAAAGAGAATTATAGCTCACACCTTTAATCCCAACATTAGGGAAATATATAAGACAGAAGCAAGGTTTCAGTATCAGGCATTCATTCTCCAGCCACGCTGAGGAGAGGTTACAGTCCGAGGCTTGGTTAGAGTTTGTGGATACAGGATCAGCCCTTTCAGCCTGAAGTAGAGGTAAAAGCAGCTAATGGCCAGCTGCTTTGCTTTTCTGGTATTCAGCTTGAAGTTTGAATCCCAATATCAGTCTCTGGGTCATTTTATTTTTTCTGGGCTTGTCACCAGCATTTTGAAAACCAGACCTAGGTAAAGAACTAGACCTGGGGACACATGCATGGTTTTATTATAGCGAATGTCTAGCCTGTCCTGATTATCAATGAATCAGAACAGTGAGAATATTCGCAGTCTGGGTCAATTATTAATTCATGTTACAGGGATAAGCACAGGCATCCTGTAACTAGGGTGTGGGCCAAGACACCAGTTACTGGGTCAGGTAAGAGCTTCATATTGGGAAATGGAGTTAGAGAGCAGATAATATAGGAGGTAACAGTGGGGAAATGAAAACATCAACGGAAATGATGAGGACTGTCAAAATCTTAGAAAATGTTTTTTTTTCCCCCAGTTTTTCAAGACAAAGTTTCTCTGTGTAGCTTTGACTGCCCTGGAACTCATTCTGTAGATCATGCTGGCCTTGAACTCATAGAGATCTGTCTGCCACTGTCTCCCGATTAAAAGCGTGCACCACCACAACATGGCAAAAATGTATACTTTTTTTTTTTTTTTATGAGACAGGGTTTCTCTGTATTGTTTTGGAGGCTGTCAGTCCAGCCCAGCCTCAAACTCACAGAGATCTGCCTGCCTCTGCCTCCTGAGTGCTGGGATTAAAGGTGTGCGCCACCACCGCCCAGCTAAAATGTCTACTTTTAAAGAAGCAGTAGTTTTTTCCATGGGACACTTTGGCAACCTTCAGGGATACTTTTGTTGGGTAGGGAAAGACTGCAGGCAGTTAGTAGGCAACCCCAGGGCAGGATATCCTAGAATACACTGGGCATAGCAACTACAAATGCTAGGCAAGCATTCACTGCTAAGTCCTTAGAGAATCATGTTAGAGCAATTAGAAACAAGGTAAGTACTACCTGTACATGCTAGTTACACTGAAAATAATGTTCAGAAACATACTGCAGGGTGTGATGATGCACACCTCTAATGTCAGCACTCAGGAGGCAGAAGTTGGTGGATTTCTGTGAATTCTAGACCAGCCTGGTCTTTTTAGTGAGTTCCAGGACAGTAGAGGCCATGCTGTAAGTCTCTGTCTCAAAATGAACAGAAACATACACTTTACTGTATATTTCACCCTCTGAGAACATCAGCATAACTGGTTGAAGGTGAAAGATACCAATCACTTCTACAAGTGTGTAAGCAATGCCTGCAACAGTCACCCTCATCTCCTGCACACCACACTGTTATGGAATAAGCTTTTTGTAGACTGTGAAGATGAGTCTGCCAAAGCTCCTTCTGATTGGATTAATAAAGAGCAGACTGGCTAATAGACAAGCAAAAAGAGGTTAGTCAGGAGAGTCAAACTGAGAGGATGCTTGTGTTGTAATTTAAGAAAAGCATCGAGATAAAGACATGCAACAGGTTTTTTGTTTAATTAGGGAAAGGGATCATAAAAAGGGGCTAAGGGAAAGGAGGAGAATGGCCTCCGGAGACAGGAGCAGCATGAGAGAGGAGAAAGGGAAGAGGGGAAGAGAGAGGAAAGAGGGAGAGAGAAGCAGAGAGAGCGCCGAACAGACAAGAGGAGAAGGATGGGAGGTAGGCAGGACCCTTTTGAAAGGGAACATAGTGAATATGCATAGGTGGTGCTCTCAGTGGCTACAGCTGAAGGCATACCCTGTCAGAATCCCAAGGACAGGCCAGTATAGATACCTGAATACTAACAGCTGGGAAGAAGGGCGTCACCAGAGACCCAGAAAGAAGCAAGATTAACTTGCCATGCTGAAAAAATATACCGCCACACGGCAGAGCATAGATAAGAAATATGGATTAATTTAAGTTGTAAGAGCTAGTAGTCAGTCTAAGTTACCAGTTGAGCATTTATAATTAATAAGTCCCAGTGTGGTTATTGAGGATAGCAGTCCTGACAAAAAATTCTGCCTACACAACTCCAGTAAGGCTGCCTGCAACTTGAGAGACGCTGCTTGGTGAGGAGCAACCTTTCTGCCTATTCTATTGACAGCAGATACAATAATCTGACTGCCCACCAAAGCCCAGGGCTAGCCTTGGTAACAGATGTCACCTTACTGTGTAAACTCATGCAGTTACCTACCAAGTGCAGAATCAACAGTGGACACTAGACACCAAGAGGCCAGCAGGTTTGATTTACAGATAAAGCACAGTGACATACATTATTCAGGGAGAGAGGATACTTACCACAGAACGAAATCGTACAGATTCTATCTGTCCATACTCTTTAAAAAATGACTTCAGCTTCTAAAATAAACAATATACACATACATGTTAGTTAACACCCTGAAAATCTGTGTCACAAAAGGAGTAATGAGAATGGTCTTAGCACCCTTCACTGCTATACTTTAAGAACATTCCAGAACCAACGTAGTAGCATACACCTATTATCCCAGCACTAGAACACGAAGTGGAGAAAAGGAGATTAGTGTTCACATCCAGTGTCTAAAAACCAAAGAGCATGAAAACAACAACAAAAAATAGGTGACTATTCAGCTGGATCGACAGGAAGATTTTACAGAAACTTGGGAAGAAGAAAAACACAATTTAGGTTCACATTAGCATTCATTCATGACCTGCATAGTAGCTGAGTTTGTTTCAGTGCTTATAATCTGTGAGACACTTAAATTGAGGTTAGACTTGTATCGTGTCTTTAAATGGTACTGTCCCACAGGGGAATTCTCCAGCTGTTTAACTCAGACACAATGGTAAGGAGAATCCTAGTTAGTCATTTGGGGGCATTAGTCTGTGACTATCTCAAGATGTGAAGAACAGCCGGGCGTTGGTGGCGCACGCCTTTAATCCCAGCACTCGGGAGGCAGAGGCAGGCGGATCTCTGTGAGTTCAAGGCCAGCCTGGTCTACAGAATGAGTTCCAGGACAGCCTCCCGAGGGGTAGAACAATAATTTCTACAACTAATTCTAAAAAAAGTTATTTACTGTATGAATGTTTTTGCAGAGAACCATAATAGCACACTCTTCTAAGTTCTTATGACCTAAAAGGAAGATCATAACCAACAGCAAAATGTATACAGGAGGCTGGGGCAGGCTGATTGAGATCTCAAGGCTAGCCTAGGATACATAGGGTAATTCATAGGGAAATCCATACCAAACTGACAAAAGTCACCTGGATATGGTATATCATCCTAACACTTAGGAGGTAGAGGCAGAAGGATTGCCACGAGTTATGAGGCCAGAGTAAAGGCATAATGAGATCCTGTCTCAAAAACAAAAAGGAGGACTGGAAATAACTCAGCAGTTAAGAGCACTTGTTAACTCTTGCAGAGGATCTGGGTTTGCCTTCTTCTGACCTCCACAGGCACTAGGCACATATATAATACACATAAATAGATGAAGACAAAATATTTATACACTAAGACAAATCTACAAAGACTTTTTTAAAAAAAGAAACTACATGGTATCTTTACAAATCATATACTAAAGGACAGAATAAGGTTGCTTTGTTTTGAAGGAAGGTGAATATAAACCCATCCTTCCAAAAACGAGCAGGATCTGGGCCTAAGGATTGCTCACGCAGTGACTACCAACCACATGTACATGGAAGGCAAAAGGTATGGCTTCAGTTAACGCTGCAGAATGAAAGGCACCTAAATGTTCATTTTTTCACTCAGAAAACATTCACTGAGCCCAATCTATGTGTTAGGCACTTTCTCATGTGTTCCAGATAGAACACTGAAGAAGAGAGAGAAATATACATTCTAGTGGTATTAGCAGAAAGGAAGCTGAAGAGAAAAAAGTCAGAAGCAGCCACTGCTGTTTTAAACACGGCCTTCAGAAGCCTGAATTAGGGGTGGGAGCCAAGCCCCAGCATCACACACACACATGCACAACCCACAGCCTGCATTAAAATTGTGACTACAGAATCAGGGAGGTGTTGGCACCAGAACCCACTATGGTGTGGTGATTAGGAAGCATAATGAAGCTACTGCAATGAGTTATCAACTATTAGCTCAATTAAAAAGTAATCTTAGTCTATAACTTCTCCAGGTTTATACCACCCCTCCCACTCACCTTCTTATTACATGTGACAGGCAAATTGCCAACAAACACAGTCCTCTCATTTTTCAACCGCTCTTCTTCAGGGTTGAGTGGGATTTTTGTTCTTTGGTCCTCATCGAGGCTGAGGGCAACACCAAGTGCCTCTCCACCTGCTGCTTTACCATGAGACTGAGACTTTCTCCTTTCCTGCCCCTGCTCCTGATGAATCTCTTCCTCTAGATCAGCATTTGCTAGAGCACTTTCCCTAGTTTTTAAAGAACAAGAGTCAAAAACAAAACAACAAAGAAAACCCGCACTTGTCAAAGCTAGTCCTACCTACTTAGTGAAAACACCTCCTGCTGGCTTAGTACTCATAAATCTACAAGTATCAAAGCAACATTATCATTTTGTTTGTTTGTTTTTTTCGAGACAGGGTTTCTCTGTATTATTTTGGAGGCTGGCCTGGAACTCACAGAGATTCGCCTGCCTCTGCCTCCAGAGTGCTACTATTAAAGGCATGCGCCACCAAAGCCCGGCTAGCAGCATTATCTTTAAAAAGGTGATACCTTAGGAAACAAATTCTGTAATTCAAGAATTTAAGAAAAGTCCAATATTTTAAGACATACTAAAGAACCAGGCAACAGCAGCAGCACAGAAATTCTAAAGAAAAGCCAATCCACTTAAAGCTCTTAGAGGTACAGTTTACACTCTACAGATGCCTCATTATTATCATTCTCTGCCCTAGGACTGAGAGATTGCAACATTCTCTCAGAATCTAGAAAGGTTGAAATGCCCACCAAACACTCTGAAAACTGGATCTGGCCCGAGAAAACCAGAGTTCCTGCTTTTAACAGTTGTGTCTAGGTGAAGGACTGCATACTAGATAAGCTCTGAAACGGTAAATACAAGAGGTTACCAGTGCATGCGGACACTAAGGTCTGATGTCACACTGACAAGAGGGCTCTTAGGTGAGAGAAAAGAATGGGCAGCAGGAGCCATGCAGTGCCTTGCTCACCAGAGGACACCGCTGGGTTCCCAGTGTTTTTCAGCAGTGCACTGAAGGGGCAGGCAACGATCACATGGCAACAGCTAGAATACCTGGTGCAGAACCATAAGAAACAGAAGACCAAGAAAGGCTTCTCAAAGAAGGAAGCAGTTTTTGCCATAGTCTTAAGAGCCCAAGTCTAGCACTCTGTTTACTTCTATGTCTAATGCATCTGGCAAGAAAAAAAAGTATGAAAGGGCCTATAGAAGTGACCCCGTTTCATCTTAAGGTCAGAGAGTTCAAATCTATCCTTGTTCTTTCAAGGTTAAAGGCCTAAGACCTAAAGGTCTAAGGTATGGCTACTGGAGGATGTTTGGCCTACAGTGTGTCTTACATAGATAATAGAATACTTGATATAAGGTATAGGTAACTAGATGTCTTAATCCTCAAGGACAGATAACAAGAGTTTTGATCTAAAGTATAGTTATTAGATGTTTTGAGAAATAAGTAATTACATCTGTTTTTTCCTTGTACCATGGTAAAGAAATCTTTTGCCTTTCCCCCCCTTTTGATTGGGGTATATAAGAATTTTGAGCAACAAACTCAAGGCAGATACTGGATACCATCCCAACTTTATCTTCTACCTCTAGTCTGTTTCTTTCCTCAATCAACACTCCCCCTCCTCTCAGCTACAGACCAGGCAGGTCAGCAGGACCCAACAGTCCAGGTAAGAATATGTTATGCAAAACCACTTGATTTTATCCTTTGGAAGACAGGAAACTACCCATGACTAACTACCCAAAAAGATCACTTGAGCAGAGTGACACATACCTAGGCACTGGAAGCTAGCCTCAGCTACATAGCAGGGCTACACTTCCAGGGACACAGCTCAGCAAAGCACTTTGTCTGGCACGTGTTTTTGTTCAATGTCCAACACTACAGGAAGGGAGGAAAAGAGGCAGGGAGGGAGGGAGGAGGGGAGGGAGGGGGGGCAGACAGAAAGTCAGACACACAGGAACACATACAGGCAGGCAGGTTCATGTTAATCATGCAACAGAGAAGATAGGAAGGGAACAAGGTGTTTAGGAGCAAACAGGAAAGATAGTGTCATGACAGCAGAAGAAAAAGCAGGTCAGCCAGAGCAAGGATAGAGATGGAAAGAAGATAAAGAGAATTAAAGAACAGTACTATCTCAGTGACTTGAGAAGCTAAGGAATGAGGATCTTAAGCTCAGGTATAACAGACTGGCTTACAGAAACATAGTAAGACTGTTCTTTCCTTTAAAAAACCAACCAGCCAACTAAACAAACAAACAAACACCAAGAGCTTCAGGGCTTAACAACTAGGAGCTACACATTGAGAGAGGAGAGTACTGGCTTAGGCAACTAACTAGAAGTGAAATATCATTAATACAGGAAGATTTTAGTTTGAAACATTCTTATTTTCTTTTCTTGGTTTTTGTTTTGTTGTAAGAAAAGGTCTCATGCAGCCTAGGCCTGCTCAAACTCACTATATAGCCTAGAAAAGCTTTCAATTTCTAATTCTTGTGCTTCCAGCTCTCAAGTGCCAGGACTACAAGTAGGTGTTACCACACACAGTTTAGGCAACAGCCAGGAACTGAACCTAGGGCCTTCTGTGTGCTAGGCAAACACTCTACCGACTGAGCTACATCCCTAACCTCACCTTAAGGTAAACAATAAATATACAGGTGTAGATGCTGTCAGTCAAGACTGGAAAGGTCTAGAGATCATGGCAGGCACACACGGCAGTGCCCATAAAGAACAGCCGAGAGAAGACGACAAACATGCAAACATGAACTCTGAGGAAAAGTAGTTTCCTAACAGCAATCTAAAGAAAGGTGTTAACCGCTGGGCGTTGGTGGCCCACGCCTTTAATCCCAGCACTCGGGAGGCAGAGGCAGGCAGATCTCTGTGAGTTCGAGACCAGCCTGGACTACCAAGCGAGTTCCGGGACAGCCTCCAAAGCCACAGAGAAACCCTGTCTCGAAAAAAAAAAAAAAAAAAAAAAAAAAAAAAAAGGAAAGGTGTTCACCTTAATTTGGAGAGAAAAACAGAAGAGCAGAGCAGAAATATCACTCACAGAATCTCCCAGCTTCAAGGCAGTAGTTACCAAGTGTTAACAACAAGCAGTTCTCAGAATATGGCATGACTTCCACATGCCACCATGATGTGGGTGCACCAACACACACACAATAAACATAATAAAAACTCTTAAAGATCTTCTGAAAGAGGGTTTAAAAATGTGAAAATGGTTTGAAAGAGTGAAAAGGAATTCAAGTCCAAAGCTTTGTGTCACATGGCTATAATCCAGAACTTGGGAAATTCGGATGGGATGGTCAGGAGCTCAAATACAGCTCAGGTTACATAATGAGTTCAAGGCCTACGAGAAATATAAGAAACCCCTGCCCTACTCCACGTCCCCAAAAAGAATGAGGAAAAGTGGTAATGTTGTAGTTATTTGGATACTAACTAAAATATTCTGTAAAAAAAAAAAGTTTATGTTAATGAGGGAAGCTGTGGTTTCCAAATGAAAAACCAAGTTCGTGTTTGATTGAAACACTGGAGACATAAACTGCAGGGTTACTTCCAATTTGCAGGGGCAGTGATGGGGTGAAGACCTACCCAGGAAGGCCAAGGGCGAACAAGAGGCAGCGGGGAATTTCACCGACCTGTTTGCCAGTCTTTGGTCTGCAGCCGAGAGTTTCTTCCCTTTCACCTTTTTTGCAGGTTTTTGCGAAGCTGGCTTTTTAATCTGGGGTGTACTTTCTTCATCATCATCACGTTTTCTTTTTATAGAAGTTTCCTTTCAAAAGTTTAAAGTCATACTTAACATGTCAAACTCTACAGTGGTGTCTCTCTAAACTAATCCTTCTCTTCCCTCACTGGTTATAGAGAGAAGCAGAGGATTCTTGACAGTAGTCATGAAACCAGATTTGATGGGCTTGGTCACGCATGCCTGTGATACCAGCACTTCAGTGGAAAGCTAAGGCAGGAGTGTGGTGGCATCTATCTGGGCTACCGTGTGTGCTAAAGGTCGGACTGGGCAATTAGTGAGACCCTGTCTCAAAATAAAAAGTAAAGTCAGAGACGATGGAGAACGTGGTAATCTAGCCTAAGATCATCCTCCGGTACATTACAGAATTTGAGGCCTAAATAGGCTACAAGAGACCCTGCCAATCAATAAATAGGGCCGAGGGTGAAGTGCTTGCCCAGCTCTGGATAGGGTCTAACAGCTACTGCCGTCGGGCGAGTTGCCCTCTAAACCTAGTTTTAAAAAGATACTCAAAACGCAGCCCCGAGACTCACCTGGGGCACAGGCACAAACACAGGTGGGGCGCGTGGCTCCGCGGTGCTGAAGAGAGAGGCCAGTCGCCCCGTCCCGCCTCCAGGAGGGCGCTGGCCGCCCCGCAGGCTGTCGGCAACCTGTCCCACCAGGTAGTCGGCGGCTGCATTCCCCACGCCATCTTCAGGGCTCTGTCTGCAAACACAGGCACACGCTCAGCCGCGCCGCGAGCCACTCACCACCCTGCACCTTCACCAACACCGCGCGCCACTCACCTCCACTCCTGGCCCTTCTTTCTCTTGGGTTCCTTCCCTCCCAAAGCCATGCTTAGACCCGAGCTTCCGGAACAGCCGCAGTGTTAGTCCTCACTTCCGGGATCCGGCTAGTCCCGCATTCTCCTGGTTCTGGGTTCCGGTAGCCTCCGGGTTCCGACTACTTCCATTCCGAGGCCTTGCTCTTCCGCTCAGGACCACGCCCCTTCCTCTCTAAACGGTCCGCGGCTGCGCAGGAGCCCTACTCTGCTTAATATTAAGGATCTGTGGAACTCCGAGTTTCGGAGGGCAATTTGTCCTGTTACACCCGCTAGTCAGGGAAGCCTAGGCTTGGGAGTGCACCAGGTCTAACGAGTAGCTGAGGCTTCTAGTACGAATGGGGGTCAACTGGCATGATGGTTCATGCCTTTAATCCCAGAATTTGGGGGACGAGGCAACCCGATTGCCACGAGTTCCAGACCAGCATAAACTACACAACTCCAGGATAGCTTTGGCTACAGAGTGAGACTTTTGTCTCAAACAAAACAAAACACACCCGGGTTAGGGTGAGGTGTTTGTTTGGGTTTCACAGTTCATTGAGGAAGATGATTTTTCAAGAAATGGGGCTAAAGGGTTATGTTGTTTGCAGTCTGGAAGTCGGTGTGAAGGGTAAACAGTGCTCTGATAGGGAAAAGGGCCTTTACGCCTTTCCTGAAGTTTGACATTTCAAAGTAGGCAAAAACAAGTTTGGGCCAAAGCTCTAACGGGTCACATCCATGTACCGTACCCGTTCAAAGTTGCCCTGCCGTTCTTTCAATACTTGATACTTCAAATCTTCTATGGTGGCTCATACTTGTAATCCTTGTGCTCTGGGGCTTAGGCCAAAGAATGGCCATGAGTTTGATGTCAGTCTGGGCTACATTGTCCAAGCCTCTCTAGGCTGCAGTGAGATCCTATCTCAAACTGTTCACCCACATGCAAACCTTCACCGTTAACTTTCACTTTAGGACTCCTGCTCCCTAACTTCCTTCCACTTTGGGAGCTGTAGGCAGTTAATGACCAAGAAAGGTGTCCCAGACAGGAAGACTGGGTAGCCAAAATAGTTGCTTTACGCCGGGCGTTGGTGGCGCACGCCTTTAATCCCAGCACTCGGGAGGCAGAGGCAGGCGGATCACTGTGAGTTCGAGACCAGCCTGGTCTACCGAGTGAGTTCCAGGACAGGCTCCAAAGCCACAGGGAAACCCTGTCTCGAAAAACCAAAAAAAAAAAAAAAAAAAAAAAAAAAGTTGCTTTACATAGGGATGAGGCAGGCTGGGGGAAGGGGAGCCCAGTCCCTGGGCGGAAGAGTTTAGGGTAGGGGACAGGATGAGAACTACTGAGTGAAACTTGTCCTGGGTTTGAGACCTAATGTTTACGACTGCCTATAACAATAGCTTCAGAGGTTCTGACCTTTTTCCAGCCTCAGAAACACACATGAATATTAAATCTTTAAATTGGACGTAGTGGTACACATCTTTAGTCTTAGCACTTGAAAGGCAGGGACAGGAAGAACTCTTAAGTTTGAAGCAGAAAAAGTTCCATCACAGGTCAGGCCTGATGGAGAGACTCTCAAAAATAAATAAATAAAATAGTTTTTTAAAGATCTTTATTAATTTAATCTTTACATTCCAACCCCAGTTCCCCCTCCCTCCTCTCCTCCTGCTCCCCCCACTTTCCTCCCACCCCACCTCCTATCTGCTTGTCGGAGAGGGTAAGGCCTCCCCTAGGAAGTCTACCAAGTATGACCCATCATCTTGTTGAGGCAGGACCAAGGCGCTACTCCCCACCCCTCCCATCCCCATGCCTAAGTTGAGCAAGGTATCTCTCCTATAGAATGGGCTCCACAAAGTCAGTTTGTGCGTTAGAATGAGATCTTGGACCTACTGCCAGTGGCCTCATATATTTCCCAAGCTGCACCATTGTCTCCTGTGTTCAGGGAGTCCAGCTCAGTCTTATACAGGCTCCCGAGTTGTCAGACCTGAGTCAGTGATCTCTCACTAGCTTGGGTCAGCTGATTCTGTGGGTCTCCCCATCATTTTCTTGACTCCTTTGTTCATAATGTAGAGCCTCTCTCACTTCAATTGTACTTCAGGAGCTCTGCCCAATGGGTTGCTGTGGGTAAAGGTTCCTGCCAGCAAGCCTGATGATTTAAATTCAATCCCTGAGACCCACATGATAAAAGGGGAAAACTGACTCCTGCAAGTTGTCCTCTAGCCTCTACTTTTGTGCCGTGACACACATACAAGCACACACTAAACAAAAATGTAATAAAAATTAAAAGATAAATTCTAATCTTGACAGGAAGTGGCGCAGACCTTTAATCCCAGCATTTGGGATTAAATGAATACAAGGTCATCCTGGTCTACAAAGTAAGTTCCAGAAGAGAAACTCTATCTCCAAAAACCAACCAACCAACAAACAAACAAACAAAAATTTTTAAGAAGACATGAAAGAGCCAGGAAGTGGTGGTGCACTCCTTTAATCCCAGCACTTGGGAGGCAGAGTCAAGGGCATCTCTGTGTGTTCGAAGCCAGCCTGGTTTAAAGAGAGAGTTCCAGGACGGTCAAGGCTACACAAAGAAACCCTATTTAGAGAAACTGTGTGTGTGTGTGTGTGTGTGTGTGTGTGTGTGTGTGTGTGTGTGTGTGTGTGTGAGGTGGGATATAGCCCAATCTTTGAGAGATAGAGACTTAATTATAAACAGGAATGAACCTAGTTTGTCTTTACTATGAAATGGCTTTTAAGTCCATGGAGACAGGCTGGTTCTTCATTTCCCCCTTTGTCTTATGTATCCCCAGCACACCCTTGATAAGGTCTAAGCATTTTTTATCTGAGGTGCGGGGGAAGGAACAAAATTTGTATTGCTCATTTATAAACCATACCTCTTTGGTTGGCACAAATAGAAAAAAATATTTTAAGGCCATATAATCTTAGTATACCTATAGGTAGCCACTTTGTCCCCTTTGCCAGTGAATTTCCGTAGACCTAATATTCTAACCCTTTGTTGAGGACAAGGGGTGATGTAGTCTCCTCTGCAACTACCTCCTGATGAAATTAGGATGCCAGGAAGGCTGGAATGTTAACCAAGATCAGGAGAGGATTTGAGCAATGGGATATTCATCAAGAGGAACTGGTTTTCTGAGCCAGCTGAAGAGACAGGGAGCAATCACATCGACTAGACTGGTCTACATCAGCTTCCAGCAAGCCCAGGGCTTTCCAGTTTTATAGGACTACCTGAGTGGTGTAGATCATATTTAGAGCAGTTTGTAGTCCACAGCTGATTTGTGGATGGTGTCTACCAGCTTAGTGGAACTCTGCAAAGACAGATAAACACTAGGGACAGAAGTTAAAGTAAAAGAACTTAAAGGAAACTATTATATTTGGAGCTCCACTCCCCCCATCCGCCCACCACAGGAATAGGCAATAGATAGGGAAACTTATGCTGTTGATGGACAGGAATACTTATCTGAAGTCCATCTGACCATCTGACCTGTGAGAGGTGGATCCAAGTCTTTTTTTTCCTCCCTGAAACCTGCAATACCACTGTTTTGGTTTTAGTTTGATTTTGTTTTGGGGGGACAGGGTTTTCTGACTGTTTCTCTGTGTAACAGAATCCTGGAACTTGGAGCTGGAGAGATGGCTCAGAGGTTAAGAGCACTGATTGCTCTTCGAGGGGTCCTGAGTTCAATTCCCAGCAACCACATGGTGGCTCACAACCATCTATAATGAGATCTGGTGCCTCTTCTGGAGTGCAGACATACACGGAGGCAGGATGCTGTATTCATAATAAATGAATAAATCTTTAAATTAAAAAAAAAGAATCCTGGAACTCACTTTGTAGACCAAGCTGGCCTCAGACTCACAGATATCTGCCTGCCTCTGTCTCCCAAGTGCTGAGATTAAAGGCACCACCATATGCCCTGCTTCAATACCGTTGTTTGTAACAGTATTTGCAAAGCAAATTCCTTAAATGGTAAAAGTTACATCTGAAACCTGTTTATTCTTCAATATGGAGCCTGTTAGTAAAGACTTCTGTGAGTTTGCCTTGTTTATCAGGTGACCTAATGGCTCTAGAAAAGTAAGGCCTGGTTTTTAAATGTGAAATGCATTGACCAGGAAGCTGCTGCTAAATTGATGAAGCTGTAGTTAGCCATCAACACCACCAGAGATCTGAGAAGGATAAATTATAGCAGGAAGTATAGTCTGGAATTGCTTATATGTCAATTAAATTTCAGAGACTTACCCGTTTCCTAGATGGCTGCTTTAGGCTCCAGTGGTCTTGATGGCTTCACTGGGGTCAGAAGGTGTGAATGATGCTGTTCCCATGGGCGAAGGAGAGAGAAAGGTCCTAAGCCTATAGTTAAGGGCAACACTAGGACTCAGGCAGGAACAAATGGGGAAGACATAAGCCTGTATGTGCCCCTCTCAGGCCCTACCTGTTTCAGAGTCCTCCTGGATGGCCCCTACCCTAAGCTTCCCCAGCCCAGGGGCTGGGTTACCTTCCCCGCAGGTGTTCTTTCTGATATAACACAGCTATTTTGGTTACTGTATCTTTTGCCTTCTTACCCTCTTGGCCCCTGTACCGGTTCCCTCTGTCCCTCTCCCTTTTCCCTCTCCTTGCATGACCAGCTCAGTCAGCCAGTCATGTTCACTATGGACTCTGTCAGACACCTCTCTCTTCTCTCTGCCTGTTTTCTTCCTTCTATCTATAATAAACCTTCGCTTTAACCCCTTAGGAATACTGATGTCCTCCATTTTATTCTAGTTTTTTTCATTCAGCTCATTTGATAATTCACACTCATTATTCTCAACCAGTAAGCTTAACCATTTTGACCCCAAGTTCTTTGAGCTAATGATTTGTTTTCCCAAAAGTCTAATTCTTAAGCCTCATATTACCTAGAAAGGCATGATTGCCACCTAGTGGTGCTCCACAAAAAGACAAGCTCTACAATAGAGTAAAGGCTTCCGTTTTACTCATTCCACACATATTTTTAAAATGGCACTGTAAGATATCCCATGCATGGTGGTACATTCCCGTAATCCCAGTATTCAAGAGGATCACCAAAAGTTCAAAGACGGCCTGGACTGCATAGTGAGAACACACACACACACACACACACACACACACACACACA